ATGAATTGCAAACGTTTTCTTGCAGCTGAGCCTATAATTTTGTGAATACATTCCTTTTCTGGAACAGACTTGCAGATTGATTGCATAAGACCTTACATTAGTCCATTCATATTTATGAACTTTTCTGGACCATTCTAAAACGGGCAAACATGCCTTTAGATGATTTGAATTTAAAATACTCCAATTAAGGGGAGGTAGTCTAGGGTTATTCTGACAAATATCACTATGAGACCTACCGTCCTTATTTAACCCTTTCCAAGATATTCCTACTTAAAGAGTGTAACCAAAAATTTTCAAATAGTAGTAGTAATATTAATTGTTAAATCTTCGTAACTGTCATTATTTTATGCAAAAACTGCTAAAGTCTGGTCGCCGAGCACATAGAAATTCGTCCAAAAACCCCAAGCTACCTATCCTTCTCGCCCGCGCGTAATAATATTGCTGTCGCGACTGTGCGACGGGCGGCAACAGTGAGTGTGCGAGCGCAACAGAAATTAATTACACGCGAGCGATAAGGATGGGTAGCTTGGGGTCATTGGACGAAATTCTACGTGTACAGCAACCGGACTATATACAAAAACATAAATGAGGACGGTAGGTCTCTAAGGTGATATCTGTCAGAATAACTCTAGCCTACCTCCCCTTAACGGGTCCGCCGCCACTAATTTCCAGACACCCTGTATTATAAACCCACGCTTTCGGTGAGCTAGGAAATCAGGCGTCCTGCATAAAAGCAAAGTTCCTCCTTACTTGCGAGTTTCATTTGTTTGGGTTGATGGATGACGTGACGAAACGCTTTCAAAGTGTTGGTACCTACTTAATACCTTTGAGAATTAACCAAATGTAAGTAGGCGGGGAACAATCAAAACAGAGTATGAATGGCGACAATAAACGTATACTCGCAGTCGCTCGGATGAACATAATATTATGATATTAGTAACTGCGTCTATCACGACATTAAAATTCCTAAACGCGACTGACTAAAGTTAGGATTTCCGCCAAGAGCACTAGTTTAATCTTCTTAAATTCGCGTTTAGATCGACTTTTTACTTTTTTGCACCTTACACACACAGTCATTTAGGCCATGCAAAGGCTAGAAGCCAATATAGGTCATTATGCAACTAGACCGCACTGTCCTTGCCGTTGCGTGCCTGATAATACTAACGAATGCGCGGCTCCATAAGTGTATCTGCGGTCATTATTTCAGCAGGTAACAGTTACGTTTCATTTTACTTTGTCGCATAACAGCTGCATAATCGGTCTGAATAACTGTCATAAATTAAAGATACTAGAATGCGCGGCTCCATAAGTGTATCTGAGGTCATTATTTCAGCAGATACCCGTTACATTTCACGTTATAAAAACTCATTTATTTTTGCAAATAGGCTTTTGAAAAGCACTTTTACACGTCCCAGTATTAACCCTACCACTGCTTCGGGACAATAAATGGGCCAGTGCTGAGAAGAAGCAGCGCAAGAAACTCAGTCACTATTGTCAGCTTGCTTACTAATTAATGTTGTTGTAATTGTTACTTTGTCGCATAACAACTGCATAATCGGTCTTGTGACTTTAAAAGTCTTGATCAAAGATAGCAAATCAACGAGCTTTGAGACTTGGAACTTATTGTTATTAGCCCGGGAAAGAAAATATTTCAAGAAACCCATAATTTTCCACGAAATACCTCTACACTAGAGCAGTGAGTTTAGGTACTTATTCTACTAAATTAATTACTTGGGAAAACATTGCCAACAACTGAAACAGAAAGCAACTTCTTATAACTTCGCTCAATTTCCACTGAATTGGTTTAATCTGCTCAAAAGTATCAAACAAACTAGACTTATATCAGACCGAAAACCAGAGCTGGCGTACACCCAAATAGGTAACGCGATTTTAATCTCATGTAATACGTTTATACGATCAACAGTTGCTAAACTTGAGATGCGTTCCGGAACACTAATCGTGGCGGGAACATTTCCGAGAACGATTACCGAAAACATTAACCGCTGGTTATCAGCGATCTAGGCCTCGCCAACTTAATAAGCAAGCTTCTATTAACTTGTCACCGTTTACACCGACGGGAATTTAGTTAGGCTAAACCACTTCAGACTTGAAATTGATTCTTAACTTTCCGTTTAGGTTTTCATGGAAAATGAAGCTTAAACTTATATGACAGGTTGATTAGCTAAGGTCATGAATTCACGACACAATAGAGCTTTTGTAGGCAACTTTGTAATTTTTATCGGTTTAACCGCGCGGTTTTAATTGCTCATTGGAATCATACGACACAAACTCTTACGATTGTATTGTGTTGTGAATCATACAGTCGCGTTTTTAAAGCATTCGTAACTTCACAACCTGTTTGTTTCCTCCTCGCAATTTGGCTGACAATGACTGAACCAAATAATCTAAACATTTTGCATCTTCTATATCACTTTACTCATTAACAGTATCGTTCATTCGTATTGTATTTTATGTATCCACGCTCCATCGCATGCGTATCCGCGAATGTATCACTACAGCTACCACGTCTAGATATAGATGACAATGATGTAAAAATTTGCAGTGATCAGCAAATTTTTAATACTGAGTTTCTTCTACAAGTATGCCAACCAATCAGATAAAATTCTTACGAGAAAACTCCAAATTCTTATTACGACAAGTCATAACAGAATTCGCCACAGTTTACGGTGTTTAACAATTTGCTGAACGACCGTCAAGTGGGGCAAATGCCGTCAAATTATTAGATTGTAACTTGAGTCAAGGTCAGAAAGCAAAGCACAGTGACTTGGAGATCATTGACCACGGTTTTACCATGATTTTACCATTGCGGGTACAAGGAACTTACTAACGTAACAAGAGGTAGCTGTACCATTATCTTTAAAGACAAACTAAAAATAGAACCGAATAGGACATCGGACGGAAGGAACGTACAATTCCTACAATACAAAAGGACATACTTAGATACGATGACAAATACGATGCTGATGTTGATGATTTTCCCGAAAATTTAAACAAAGTTAGCTAAAGCCATAGCAAAATTAGTGCGTAATTAAGGCACATAAATGTACTTATTCATTACGAGTAGAAAGAAAGAAATTTGAAACCATAAAAAATTACAATAATTTAGTGTTGGTTTTCAAATGGAAAAACTGTTCAACGTAGGTAGGTAATATTTAATAACTCTTTTCTCTTTGCATAATCACGAATCTAAATATTACGTGACGGTGTGAAGAAGGCGAATTAATCGGCTAATCGCATCGATATTAGCAGGAAGGGCGATTTCTAAGATCGAACGTAACTACCCACTTTTAACCGATTTAATATTCGCTGGAAGCTATTACCCATGTTGCACAATTTCTACACGATTGGAGTTAATTGAAAACTTGGCCAAGCTGTCCACATTCTTTACTTCAATGAACTTTATCTCCCATTGTGGTCATGGGACCAATTATGGACACCAATTTGACAAACCCAAGACACAACCCGATTGACAAATAGTAGTTCGTGAGTATTGCTTGATAAGAATCGGCTTTAGACTCATTGTTACTTGTCCGTGGGATCAATGAACTACAACAATGAAAGAATGACTGCTTGTGTTGTGTTCCTGCAGTGTGTTGGATTTTGACGCTATTGAAATTGTAAAATACGCAGTAGATGCAGGGGAAAAGGCAATGATGGACGGTGACCGCCCGGAAACCGTCAATTGGTGGCCGCGATGACCACACAGGGAAGATAAATTGACGCAATGAATAGAGGAAGCGTGCAGTCATCAGCAATCTTGACCTTTGCAAATTACGTCTCACTATCTCAGACGGAACAACTGATTATGCACAACTTTCACTCGAGAAATGCATCCGACGCTCATGTAATGCAACCTATTTCTATGCAAATCATACTGCCACAATTAAAACAAAAGAAAGCACTTTCATTAACGAGTCTAATAGTTTCAAACCCTTTTAAGTGGAAAGAGAAATGAAATATTGAGGCATGATTTGAATGAGACATCAGCTCATTATATTTGTACCTGTTTATAGCGTTAAAGCGAATATTTTAAATTGTTCACGTATTCCAATACCGATCGGACGTGGTCCGATTATGGCAGTGTTTTACTTTTAAGGTACACACATGCACGTAGAATAGCGATTGCGAAAGTCCAGTTACTGGCCACTTGCGGCCGTGGATCTAGACTCCAATTCATACGAGAAACACGAAAATAATTCAGTTCCTGCTTCAAAAATAGAAAATTCGGGCATACCTTTTATGAAACATTCGGCATAATCGAGTTCTCAAATCCAGTCACAATACACGGAACGAAAACAAAAACCACTGAAGCACTTTGCGAACACAAAAATAATTCGAACCAAACTTAGGGCCTTTTACGGCGCGAGGACATATGGCCGGGCGTAAAACACACACATCTTTTACGTTTGTTTTTGGGGAAATAATAAAAACTTGCACGTTATTTGAACAGATGGGTAGATATTTATTTTAGTTCACGCGCGACGAGATCGTTCTCCGGAGACGCCGAGCCGCCGTCCGTGAGCAGCGAATCACGGCACTGAGCCGGAACCGTTTGTTTGGTCCGTCTAGCCTTCCCTTTCTAACTAGAATGCATAAATTGAACAGCGCCATCTGTCTACGCTGCGAGGTATTCGCTGGCGGGGGCGTTGGATCACGGGTCGTGAGCAACAGGCTGTTGTAACGTAATGTACCTACGTCAAACGTACAGAGGGCGGCCTTTTAAAGAAACCTCCAAGACTTGACTGTGAATTTTTGAGTTAAATTTTGTTCAAGTATTTTTTTTATTTGTAATCAAGTTTGTAACGAATACTGGAGTATTTACCCTATATTTTCATTATTTTACTAAGACTTTGTGAAAACAAAATATTTTATATTTTTTCCATGCTTTTAAAATACCTTTTACCAACTCGAAGTCCACTTCCAAATTGTATGAAATTACTAACTTATTGAGAATAAAAAGGTATAGTAAAAAAACAGTATATCAATCCATAACGTATCTTTAATTGGAAAGTAAAATGTTTGTCGTGATTTAACCTTAACCTATCATAATTTTACATGATAACTCTTTCTCCGTCTGCTCAGCGGTTAACTTAACCAAGTTTGTACTAGACAACGCGGTTCTGGGTTGGTACCCGGCCGATAGCCACGAATCAAGCACCTCCGTACTTGGCAGCATTGTTCTTAGCGAATTCCTAACATATATGTACGCCTGCGGCGAATACTTGTATATACTAAGCGCGAAATTCTTCAAATCATCCGTTTGCCTGATCGGCATCGCTAAAACTAAACCGCTCATGTCCTCGTTTATCTTGTCCTGCAACGACAGAAGAATCCGCGCCTTTTTCTTTCTTTTCTGATCTAGAATCTTCTTTTTCCTCTCAATCATGTCTTGTATGCGGTGGAGTAGCTTGTTCTGGCGGTTGTGTGCTCGCATGCTTCTCTTTAGCTTGTCTCTGAGGCCGACGGCTTGTCTTTGCATTTTCTGGACCTCTGTGAATAGTTTGAGCACTTCTGTGTTGTCTGGTTTTTCTGTCTTTACTGGTTTGCCGTGTATGTCCGCGTGAGAGTTCCCGTTTACAGGCCGCAGTTCTTCGTCGTCCAGTTCCTCAAAGTCCATGTAATCCTCATCGTATTCTTCTTCCTCTTCTTCATTGTCTAGCGTTTCTTCGTCTATGTATTCGACCTGTTGTAAGAAAATCAATTTTGATACTTGTTTCGCGGACGTTATTTAACTTAAAAATTTCAACGAAGGCTTTTATTTTCCAATAAACTTTAAGTAACACCGACAATGAATTCTATCGGTTCATAGCTGCTAAAGAATCTAATGACCTGGTATAATTTATAGATCAACAGATTAATATTGGAACTAAACGTATAGTGCGAAAATTGTGTCATTTTTTCACGCAATTCGTACTTTTGGGCCACATTGTCCAAAACTTAATACCCAAATAATTAAACCAACCTGTAAAGATCGACTACTAAAGCAATATCTACTAAATATCCACTATCTACGAAAACCACTAACTACATAATAAACTACAAACCTCCAAAACATGTCTGGGCAGCTTCAGTGAAGGGACCGCATTCTCCACCAGGACCATCTCATTGGAAGCGTCGCATTTGAAGCAGTCTACAGAGAAATGCTGTATACAGATGTAGGAATAGTCCGTTGGCGTCCAATTGTTGCGGCCCGTCAGGTCCGTCCATATCTGCTTGAGGTTCGCGTCTTCTGGGAATCTAGAATTAATTAATAAACACTGTAACTTCTACTTAAGGAGTGATGGAATTAAGTTTTTATGTCCCCTTAAATTAAATTGTCAAGTAATAGACATTATATTAAGAATGGACAGCAAATTGTATTTGCAAAGAAATGAGCAGAAAATGAACCTGTTAAGAAAGACAAAGACTCAAGTAGCTACAAATCGGGTGCGATGTGACCTCATCACGCACATTTACCCTATGTTTACGTCACGAATGAATGAATGAAGTTACCACTACACAGCCACTGGTCCGGACTCCGGAGGGTGAAATGGGGTTTGTTTATTAATTTATTTTTTTTGTAACATGGGAGTTACAGGGTGTTTTTCGCCAGAAAGGCGAGGCCATTCTATTAAGACCTGACGGTGTTCTTCAGAGTCCATTGGGATGAAATTGTTGTAAACAACTTTAGAGTTGTTTACAACAATTTACTTATCTTCTGTTTTGTTTGTAAGACTCCGCCGAAAGAAATGGTAATTACGGTTAATTAGTTGTAAGATATTATCGCCTTAGTTAGACACGAGTGCTGGTGACGCGAATATTTTAGCCTAGATTAAGTTAAACTACGTTTTATAGTCAGCTGACTGATCATAGTTTAAAATATGATGGATGGGTATTAATACGAACTCTTGCTTAACATGTTTTACGTCAAACAACGCCTCAATAAGCGACGGGTAAATCGTATTGCAAAATGAACCTACTGCTTGAGGACAAATAGTACCTATGGCTAGTGAGTAGTGCTGAGCTGGGTGGGCCAGTTTAAGTCCTTTATGTTTTAGCGCAAGTACACTGCGGAATATTGTCCAAGTCGAAGCGCTATGCAGCTAGCCCGCACACCGAAGTATGGGCGACGCACGGGTCAAAGGTCACGGGGAAAGTAACCGAGATGGTGTTCACACTATTTGAATAACCCTCGATCGCCCCGGGTGCCAACTAATGCTACGCCGCCACTGCGTGGGCCTCCGCTATTTCGTAAAAAGTAACGTACGAAACTTGGCTATGTGAATGAAAATAAACCAATCAGAAAACCTCAATGTATGCTTAAAATTTAATCGACAATCGACATAACACTTTCGCGAGTCTCGCGGTTAAAAGACACAGGAATTTGTATAGTAGGTATATAGGTAGGTATTTCATAAATGTAGGAATATGAGTTGCGCAAATTCACCTTCGAGTTTATTTTTCGTGACAAGATATCCTAGGTCTGATCTATTTCTATACCAAAATGCATTCAAAATTTTTCAGCAAAATGAAAAATGTTAATAATAATGTAAAAATCTAACACACAAACAATTAAGTATTTTCATTTCAACTTTAGTATGGTAGATCTATAGACCTAAATAAAATTAAAATAACAAGAAGATAAAAGTAGGGGACATAAAAACAATAGAAAAATCAACCAAACCAAAATAAATAAAACATGTTTGAAAATTGATAAATAAACTATTTGTTTCCTATATTCCAGACATTTATATTGAATAACTTCTGTTTACCTGAAAAATGACTCCTCATCTAAATTCTTTGAGTCTTCGCAGCCCAGCACAGCACAGGTCTTGGTGATCTCCGCCTTCACGTCTGCATTGTGCTTTACCTCTGGTGCCACCATAGCTGGTTTGAATGGAGACGGAAAATATTTTCAAAGTACATTATCAAGTAGTTTCATCTTTAAATTTTACTAAAAAAATTGCCAAAATTGCTTACACAGTGAACAGCTATTTTGTAATTTTAAAAATATAAATCAGCAAACTAAGCAATACTACTACACCGCTGCTACTTTGTACATACAAAGTAGCATGAATGCTGACATCTGCATGAATTTAATGTCCACCACTGTCATGTGAATTTGTACATTTATGAAATAAATGTGGACTAACATGTACTATGTTTATAGAACATATTGGTTTATGTACTAATTAAGTTGGCATGTAATCAAGAAACATGATAAGTGTAAATAAACAGTAGCCCGCTAAATATATGCAGTAAACAATGCTCAATTCATTATTTTATTGCGTTGAAGTTTATTATGGCCCAATCTGCACGTACCGACCGGTGTAGCTTTCCCCTTAGTTTCACCAAACTCGACATTCTCCTTACTTTTGTAACTGTAGCTCATTTTGTTTACCCTGAAAAACAACGATCTACGGACAATGATACACCAAATATTGCCTATGAATTTAATTGCACTCAAAATTGTATGCTTACATTCAATATTCTAAACAGTTTCCTCTGCACCAGCCCCAAGGCCCGGTTTAACTGTGATAGTAACCTTTCTCATAGGTTATAATTTATCAGATAACAATTATGTATCTCACATTATTATTGTGCCAAATAAAGCTTCCGTGTCGTCAATATACTATATGCACATATAACTGAATTATAGTAATAACAATCGTTTTTAGAATTCTCAACTCCGAAAACAGTAAAATAAATCTTTTTAACAATTTTGAATGAATGACGAACGAATGTGAAACAATAACTGACAACAAGCGAGCGCGTCCTTCCATTCATTCATTCGTTCGTACGCAGGGCAAAGAGCGACCGGTATTTTACCGGTTTTATTATTTTTTGTTAATGCTACGGCTATGTAAGAATACCGAATTACCATTTTTTTAATGTGGCAATGATATGAATTTGTTTGTCAATGCCACTTCTTTGCTGCCTGCCACAGATATGGATAGATGAAGCATGTGTCAAAAATTGTATGAAGCCGAGCGTGCCACTTTTTTAACGTCATTAGTGTCATTTTAGCGAATTTTAGTGATTGCCGCAACGTAAAAGTAATCGTATCATCGTACTGCATTCGCAAAGTCATCGAATGATATCGTATGACTCGATTCGAAAATTAATTAATTCCGATAAAACTGATATTTTATTAAATTTATAGCTAGTCTGACTGTGGATTAAAATAATTTTGTAGCGGTAGACGTTATTCTACATTGTTTATTTTTGTTGTGCCTAATGTTTATGAAAGTAATTACCGTTATTCCATTATGTTAAATAGTACTACTAGTAATTCATACTTAATTCCATACTTTTAACTATCCTAGTAAGTACCTGGCCTAGTTTCGTAAAATAAAGACTATTCACTCAAATATTTTATTTTTAATAAATGTAAAAATGCGTATAGTTCCAAAATACTGGATTGTCCTGTCGATGACATTGACAGTGGGGCGCCACCGTCAATACCGGATCGCTGGTTCAGATTTTTGCCATGTTGGAAACCATAATAGTTGAACGATGGTAGCGCCCCCCTGTCATTGAGTTTGGTGGGACAGTTCAGCGTGGGTCATCTATAGTTTTGCCAATACGTTTTGTTTCATAAAGCTAAGTCAGGTACCTAGTTTTGAAGATTTTTCTAAACGACAAAATTCAATGTGGTAAAAAACGTTGGAAGTAAAATGAAACAAAAGATTTTTCTTCATAATTATATTATAAGTGCAATGAATAGTATTGTGCTTTAGACAAGCCCTATAAAATAATCAAAACAAATCAAAAGGTATGAATAAAATTGTTCTTCCGCCGTCATTTATAAAAAAGGTAATGGCAAAATTATAGAACTTCCTTAGGCAGATGCCTCTACTCTGTCTATTTGAAAAAGTCTGGCACTAGGGGTTTCCCGGGGGCCCGATACAAAACCAAAAACATCTTTATTTTTCTTTTGAAATAAATTAATTCTTACAAATCGACAAATCTCATTATTTTTTTCATCCTACCAGCGATTCAATACAAAAACTTGTCTGGTGTACGAATACACGGATCTGTGTGTGTCATAATGTTATGAGTAAGTACGGTTCCTTGGGATCGGTATGAGTGCACCACATACATTACTCTTAATAGTACATCGCAGGATATGTATTAAAAACAATCCTACTTTATACTTCTTCTACTGCTACTTTATTCTAATTAATTATTTGTTACTTGTGCTGTTAATTACAATTCTCAATCCGTAAATAATTTCTTCCTTCTACCGTGTTCCTACTACTGTCCTCGTAAAATCTTCGTAACCGATTGTTGTAATCGGACCACATGAACATCACTCGACCATGTATGTCCATTTGGACATATCGGAATGGCACGCTTTGACGAGCAACTTGCTGTATCTACTCTAATCCATATCTGTGCTGCCTGCTGTTTGTCTTGTCATTCATTCATTGTCGTCTGTCATTTTAATACGTAATTTTCTTGACGAGGTCTTTGTTGCTTTAATTTTATGTTATTGATACTGAAATTAGAAACATGGTTGATCCGATATTCGATTACCAGTTTAGACTAATTTTAATTGGCGACAGTACAGTAGGTAAAAGTTCACTGTTAAAATATTTTACGGATGGGAAGTTTGCAGAGGTGAGTTAAATTCATTGTTTTCGTGTTGTTAGACAAGGTTTTTTGGGAACATTAGTAAATTACGCGTTATTTTTTAGCTGTCGGACCCCACAGTGGGAGTGGATTTCTTCGCTCGGATTATAGAAGTGCAAGATGGGACCAGGATCAAGTTGCAGCTGTGGGATACAGCAGGGCAGGAGCGTTTTAGATCCATTACAAAGTCTTACTACAGAAACTCTGTTGGTGCGTTATTAGTGTACGACGTGTGCAACAGATCCAGCTTCGAACACATACCCCTGTGGATGATGGAAGCCAAGAGACACATTGAGCCTCACAGGCCAGTGTTTGCCTTGGTGGGCTGCAAAATAGACTTAGTAGGGACTGACAACAAAAGCGGCGCAAGGAGAGAAGTCACGTGTGAGGAAGCAAGGATGTTTGCTGAAGAAAATGGTAAGTGATCTTTAGTTTTTAATATTTTTCTACTTAAAATTAAAAAGAATATAACAAAAAGATGATAAAAATTAGGTAATATTATCTGTAAATGTTTTCAAGGGTAATTTCTTAATGAGTCATTAATAATGTCTCTAGATATTATTATTTGATAATAGATAAGTCAATGTGCATACAAAAGTAATGTTTTGATTCCATTACCACTACCACATTAACTAATAAACATAGTTACAAAATTACCTAATTCAAAAATATGAACCTTCTATGTAGGTAAAATTGCATTATTGTATATTTCCAGGATTACACCATGTGGAAACATCCGCAAAAACTGGTATGAACGTTGAAGAAGCCTTTGTCCTGGTCGCTCAAGAGGTCTACAACCGCATCCAAACTGGAGAATATAAGGTAGAGGACGGTTGGGACGGCATCAAAACCGGCTTCAACCGTCCCAACGGCATGGACTTCAATCTTCTTGAAGCCGAAACTGTCCAATCCACCTGTTGTTAAAGGAATTAGATTTAAACACCATAATTATTGTACATACTGACTCGTTAGAATAGACTAATAAATAACATTGTGTAAGCGTAATTTTATATTTGGACATAGATAAGATTTTGGTATAATGAAAGTCATGATATAATGAAAAAATAGTCGGTTTTCGGCACAGGGAAGGGATAAAGATTACATTTTGACAGTTTATGTAATGTAATGCACATAAAACATTTTTTTAATGGATAATTTTATTTATTATTGCAAATTTTATATTTGACATCTAAAAATCTATCCACAATGATCTTTGTGTAACATCAGTTTATGCTACATTTATTTATGAAAGACTCTTGTAATATGGCCATAATAAGTATAGTTTTAAAATTATTAATTTTTATTTCACGCAGAAATTTAAATTATACAGCCAAATTATTGAAATAATTAATAGTTATGTTATGTAAATATGAACACTTAGAAAAAAGAAAAGTATTTAAAGTCTTCAACCAAAGAATACAATTTCTGCTAATCTCTCAAGTAATTAGAGTTTACTAACTTACTAACACAACTAATTTTAAATTTGTACCTGCAACATTGTGCAATAAGCACACACGATTAGTTAAGTAAGATATAATAACAAAACTGATAGTTTCATTTTAAGTTTTATTTTGAGCAGCTATACCATCTAAATAACTACGAAAATTAGGCTTTAGTCGACAAATATTTTTTTCTTATTGTTTTACGATATATTCGCAAACTTTATATTAAAACTAACGCATTTTTAAAACTGACAATGATAACTAAAAACTAATGAGTCCACATTACTAATATGTGGTCAACTATCTCTTGCTGATTTCGCTCCCTCGTATTCAAAGCATTCCTCTCCAAAAATTGGTATGTTTCATATTGTGTCCCAGTTTCAACAAAACCCAAATTGATCTAGACTTCCGGTCTGAATAGATTTCCGACCCAAAGTTCGTCACAAAAGCCTATCATGTTGTGTTTGTGTCTGCGATCGCTCCGTCCATTAATCACGCGGGCTAGGAATGATAAAACAAATGAATTTATCAGTTTTGCTGCAAGTTAGCTAGTATGTTGTTTTAGTTGCCTTGTATATTAGTCAGACGTTAAATCATTATTATTACATTAACAATTATTAAATTACGAAAGTAAGTTAACAGTTCCGCTCGTTAGTTAGCTTCACTTGTACGACTTTTTAATATAATCCGTAGACATTTCACTACCATAATTGCCAGGGAACAAAAGAAATGTATAAAAAAACTTGTAATTTGAATATAATAGTAATGTGTTGATTACAAATTATTTAACCGGGTGCGCGTTATGTATGAGTACAGTCAGACACAGAATTGGAATCATTTAAAATCAAGAACGGACGCGATGAAAGTCGACACAATAAAAATAATTTACCTACCATTTCTGTGCCTGACTGTACCGAGTCAAGTTGTACTGCGTACTCAATTTTAAATTGTTACTACTAATATTTAAAAACGTGGAAACTTATCGTAAATGTACACGAGGAGTAACTTAAAATGGCACAAGACCCATCTAGCTGGGTCAAATGGTGATACCTGACGATTAGCGATTCAAGGTCCTCTGTATCGACGCAGTTTAAACAAGATAATACAATGTCGGTCAATACGATATGCGCATTTTAATTTTGACTCAATGAATCGTTTTAATTGTTGATACAGTTAACCAAGAACGGGTGCTCATTTTAAGTACTTTATGTAATTTTAAGGACTGACGTGTAAAACTATACAAAAAGTAAATGATTTAATGTTTTCATTGTAATTTTTTTGTTTGTGTTCGACTAGTGGTTAAGCCATGCACAAAAGACTCAGGCCCCAGCTCTGCCACAAATCACGTGATGTGCCTCCATTATTTGTAGTTACACTTACTTGAGCAATCGCACTTGTTCTATCTACCGCCAAAAGTACAGTCTTCAATATAAATGAGTGGCAAGCATTCCCATAATCTTTGTATGATATCCGATATGATAGCCGAGCTAATGGTATAAAAACTAAATGGGTAGTTATTGAAAGTCCATGTATAAAAAGCATACATAATGGAGCTGCATCATACGAATAATTAATACATTTCAGAACCGACCTTCATTGTAGAAAATGGTTGACATGTTGTCGGCCACACAAATGTAACGTAATGTGAATAATGGATTCATATTATAAGTCACGGTTTGATTTAATGATGTACCTTAACGCTGTTAAAATATGCTTTATATGAAGTAAAGTTTTTTGTTATTTATACGTTGTGTTGTTTTATTCCATTAATTAATTTAATATAGACGCAATGCTGAAAGTCTCGATGGGACAGTGGCGCACATCACATGTCTATTTTAATTTTACATGCCTCAACAGAATCGATTCCACCATTCAAATCATTAAATGGTATCAATGAGTAAGCGGATCGTATAAATAAATGAAAATCAGAATCGCAGCCTACCTACTCTTAGTTTTTATTGATTCCGTTGGACCATCAGGGCAGCCTAAATTCGGCGATGGATGGATTAATTCGTATCGCCCGATTATCTCTCTTCTGGCAGCAGAAGTGCACAGAAAATCAAATTATATTCATGTCAGGTATATAAGGTCAGCGCTACCAACGTGGGGGTAGGTACCGGAGTTATTCAGATGATGTACTAGGTACTAGTAGTCTTGGGCGGCCAGCCAGTCAGTCATTATTATTTCTGCTGATTTCTGCCACTCATGGCAAGACAGGAGACATGCTATATTAACTTCACAAACGCTGTGTATTATTCTTCTTGTTACGCTTACCTCAACCTTGTCTCAAAGGGCTGCTATGTAACTTACCAATATATCAAAATATCTCTGCTCTGCCTCAGTGCCTCCCAAGACAAGTGGCAAAATGCGACAGTTGATCAAAAAGTGCTACTTGTCTAGCGGGAAGAAATAGCTAAATAACTGTTACCCAAGTCGATAAAGTTATTAAAAATATAAACGTCAAAGTGACAATTGACATTTTGGTTTGTCAACAGAGCGATGGCTGACGAGATGAGAATTTAATTAAATTTTGGGATTTTATTAATTAAAGTTAAAAGAGAGAAATCTCTTTAAGATTTGAATAAAGTTCTCTATCAGAACCTCTCCTTACAATGTCATCTAGTCGCTCCAAATCCTCGATCCTGGACAAGCCACTGAGCAAAGGAAAGGGGGAGATATCTTTGGCTTTTTACGCCCTGCTTTTCTCCGAAATAGTTCAGTATTGTCAGAACCGCTCACATTCTATTCACGAGCTCCAAAACAAGTAAGTCTTACACAGATTTAGGAAGATTAAGTCGATAAACTATCCATAATAAAATTGCTATTAATTTTTATCGGATGTAATCATTCATTTTCACCTTTCTCTAATTTCAGATTATCAGACATTGGTCAAGATGTAGGCACAAGACTCCTCGATCTGTATTTCGTTCGTGAAAGAAATAGTAAAAGGGAAATAAAGCTGCTGAATATGCTGTTATTTGTCAAGTCAACATTATGGAAGGTATTTGATGAACTTAGCTACTGTGATTTAGATCCTATGAATTTTGGAGGCTTTATTTAAATCTTTGGATCAAATTCTTCTGTACAAGGGTTTAGTTGATACATTACTTTAATACTTGTCTGAATACTTATTTTTATTACAGGTATTGTTTGGAAAAGAAGCTGATAAGTTGGAACATGCAAATGATGACGAAAGAACCTACTACATAATTGAAAAGGATGCACTGGTGAGTATCAACTAATTGGGAAACTGTCAGCCATGAAAGAAATAAACCTTTTGGATTACCTATCTACTTTAAAAAACAAGTCTATAAGTTCAAGTTATTGAGTGTCAAGTAATTCAACAAGATTATTATCATTTGACCAAAGGGTGGCTTTCTAGTTTACATGGATAACCTGCATGTGGATACCACAACATTTATTTAGCCTTAAGGCTAATCTTATTTTTTTGTAATTTTTCCAGGTTAACAAATTCATAAGTGTGCCAAAGGACAAAGGCTCCCTCAACTGCGCCACTTTCAATGCTGGCATCATTGAAGCAGTCCTAACCAAGAGTGGATTTGTAAGTATCTGAACCTGTCAATTTGCATCTGCTATAGTTTATTAGCAATACAATACAGATTGTTATGTACTAATAATATTATTTTATATTTTTGTACTTTGTTTAATAAGTCCAATACAGATGCTGCAATAGGCAAAACCTACTTGTTGGACTTACCACATTCCTCATGTTGTTTTCTTTTTGCCCATCCCATTAACTTAAAAAATCCCAATTTGTTTACTATTAAATACAAGGGATTTTTTCTATCTATTCATTTTATATAATGTAATCTTTTTTTTTATTTCAGCCTGCAAAAGTCACAGCTCACTGGCATAAGGGAACCACTTACATGGTGAAGTTTGATGATTCAGTCATATCCAGAGACAAATCACTGGATGATCGCTAATTATATGCTCCTCTGCTACCTCTATAAAATGTTAAATTATACTTAAATAATTGTAATAAATCTGTAAGCTTTATGTTATGGTTTTTATAGTCTCAGTAGCCTACAGTTTTAGCATTAAGATTTTTGTAATAATTGAAAGATGAAATTCAATAGCAATAAAATATTTTTTAATCATCAAAGCATAATAAATGACTACATTTTTATTGTAATTTGAAAAGTCTATCACGATACCTCAGACTACCGCACCGACAGGCAGTTTCAAACTTGTTTCTGCTCTCCCATATTATGTACCCATAAATGAACATAGGTGCAATACATAAAATGCCCTTAATGGCTGCTTGCATACATGGTTGGAAGTAGTATGTTTGGTAGCATTTCAATGTCATGAACCTCTGCATTGCTTCATCGAACTGGAATAAGATGGAAAATAGGTATGCCGTAAATAGATGATGTTATGTAACTATGATGATGAACTGGGCAGCTTGAATAACTGCTTTATCTGTGTTCACAAATAGGTGATTTGATTCACTATTATGGTATTTATGGTTAACTAGGCAGCTTGACTAGGAGTTATAGATTTCAGAAGCTGTCATACTCAGGAATAGTGTGACATCTAGGCATAGCCTATTTTTAGCCCTACAACTCTGTGAAACCCCCTTCTAGATAAGTTTTCGGGACATGATGCTGTAGAGACCTAAAAAAGCTTCTCTTATGGAATTTTTATCTCTATAGGCTGTTACAACTGTGGTCACCATCATATCCCACACCATATCTAAGCATCTAATACCAGGATTTGTGATACCTATGTACCTATAATGACTTCTTCTAAGGAAATGGCCAGAACTTCAATTTTCCATAAAAAAATATACATACAACATATCCAGCCTCTTGAGAGTGCTTACAAGGGTCAGTCCTAGCCTTCAAGAACTCTTTCCGGTATTTGGCCCGCCTCTCAATCTGGGCCTTGATGATTTTGCACTCAATTTCTGAGTAGCACTGCTTAGACATTGTGTTTAAAACTATAAAACTACTATTGTATTATTAAATTTATTTCTTTATTTATGTATAGGACAGATCAAGAAACTGCAAAAGTTAAAAGATTTGACAAGTTGTCATAATCATATGTCTGATCCAGAGTACCATGTAAAATACTTTTTTGTTTAAAGCCAGTTATATTATGTACAGTCAGTAGGCAAAAACTAATACACAAAGTATAGTATTTCGACATTAAATTATTTTATTGAACTATACAACTATTATGTTTTTCAATTGTTTTGATTAAGCTAACTTCCAGGTTCTTTCCCTGTAGCGCAGTTCACCACTCCTGATCTTCGCTTCGCGTTGAGCCCGTTCGTTGAAACAAAGGTAACCATATCCAAGCATAGGTAAAACGATAACACATATTCCAAATAAACTAGTTCTCATATTAGGTTTAAAGTGATCATACTGAGTCACTTTCATCGACATAAACTGTTGGATACCCTTGTCGAACTGAAAATTAGAAAAATATTGGTTTTAGTTCATTGTTTACAATATAAATACTGTTTTTAAATCAAATTACGTAATTATACTCACAACATAACCAGCTTCGGAGGCATGTTTCCAAGGGTTGGTTCTTTGCTTCAGAAACTCTTTACGTAAACCAGCACGGCGGGCAGCCTGCTGCTTAATCAAATTTAATTCTGCATCGGAAATACCGTAATTATTTGCCATTTTGGTCTTCAAAATCGACAGATTTTAGATCAGTACCCCTGAAATGTTGTGGTAATTTGACAGCTGTCAAACCTTTGACATTTACGTCAGGTAAAGGTGTTTTTTTTAAACCGGTAATTCAAAGCTACCTATTGATCTAGATCAAAAATGATCTTTAAGTAAAAAAAGTCTTAGAATGCCTGAAAAATCAGATAGTATTAACTAATTGTTGTCATCAATTTTTGACGCTATCACTATCATATTTTGGTTCCATCGAGCAATCAATAACAATAGACACCCAGCGAGGAAGTATTCATTCATAGACAATAAAACGTAAGCGGTGAACGAATGAACGGTTTCCGGCCACCATCTTTTTCGTTTCCCTTGTTGTCGTTGTCAGATCGGCGAGTTTTCTAAAAACCGCAACCATGGGTCGTATGCACGCACCTGGGTAATTTTATTGTTAAATTTTACAGTGTAAAGTGTAAATTACCACCATAATATAAATTTGGGTTATGGTGAATCCAAAATTGTGATGTGACAGCTTCATAACCTCTACGCCGCGCTCCCGACCACCACATGGCAAAGGATAAAAGTGTGATTTTTATGTTTTCAGCAAGGGTATTTCCCAGTCGGCGCTGCCGTACCGTCGCAGTGTCCCAACCTGGCTGAAACTCACTGCTGACGATGTAAAGGAACAGATTTTCAAACTGGGCAAGAAGGGCCTAACTCCATCCCAAATCGGTAAGTTTCTTACATACGTTCCATGTTTTAGGTCATTTCCACAGGACTTACGATTAGTTTATAGCTCGTATCGTGGTATTAAATTAACTTGTGCTATCTGCTCAGTCTTCCATCATGTGGTATTTTTGACCCTCATAGTCCCAAACCAAATCACTATGAGTAAATAACAAAAGTTGTCATTTCATTAGCCTTTATAGTGTTTTAAAAATAACTATTTTGATGTTCATCACAAGAATTTGTAAAAGAAAATAATACGACACAAGTTGTATTTCAATCCTAAAATTAATTTGGTAAATGCTATAAAACGAAATCTCTCATTGTTTCCAGGTGTCATGCTCAGGGATTCACATGGAGTTGCCCAAGTCAGATTTGTGACTGGCAAGAAGATCCTCAGAATCATGAAGGCTATGGGGCTGGCCCCCGACCTACCCGAGGACTTATACTACCTCATCAAGAAGGCCGTTGCGATGAGGAAGCACTTGGAACGCAACAGGAAAGACAAGGACAGCAAATTCAGACTTATCCTGGTCGAGTCCCGAATCCACAGGCTAGCTCGCTACTACAAGACAAAGAGCGTTCTGCCCCCCAACTGGAAATATGAGTCGAGCACTGCTTCAGCCCTTGTGGCTTAAGTTTTAATTATATTATAAAACTTCCATTGTGTTTTCTTTTCAAGCACCTAGTTTTTTTTGTCTTATCACTATTATATTTTTTCCTGAAAAGGTACACTAGCGAACTAAAATTAAGAACAGTGATTGCCTTGGAAATCAATAAGTAATTTTCACAATAAGGACTTTTTAGTCACATTAGGTAGGTAAAAATATTTGTAAATTCAATGTTACTATTCATTTACACTATTTTACTCTTACATGGCATATTTTTTGTCTGTAAAATTCAATTTTAATTCATGAAAATAATAGTAATTTGAGCTCTAATTATTAGATTATTATATTTATTTAGGTAAAGACCAAGTTTCTAAAACATTGGGCTATGTTCCTATTCCTGAACAAATCAAAATAGGGATATAATAGCAGGAACTTAATTTATTTTAACTTCATTCAAAATATCAAAAATAAAGGATTCAGTAGTTCTGCTCAAATAATATTTGAATAAAGAAGGTAAAAATTGGAAACATCCATATTTTATTCATCAAGTCAGTCAACAATACAAAACTTAGAACTATTACAATTTTTATGATGCAAATAGACTATACATAAGGATTCCAATTGCTTCCATCTTCAGGGTGCAGGTTGTTAGTAATCAGTAGCACTACATCGACGATCCACCAAATGCCCAAGCCTCCCAGAGTCAGGAGTTTACCCACAGCTGTACCAGTCTGCCCAAGGCAGAATCGGTCCATGCCCAGGAACCCCAGAAGTATACTGTATATGAGAGTTGTAGTGAAATAGTGTCCAGAGTACCGCACACACGGAAAACCATCTTTCAAGAACGTTCTGCTGCCGTAACACTCGATATTATCCAACGCCTTGCACTGTACTTTAGTCTTCTCAACATTCTCATACAAAACACCTCCAAACTTTACACAGCCGTGACCTGTAGCATCCCTGGCTGTTTGGTTCCCTTTATGGTCGATGGGATGATCGCAGTTCAAGAATTCCATCGGTAGAAAGTTGCATTTTACTAGTGGGCCTAGTGGTCGATAGGGCTCGTCTGCATACGGATTGCTATCGGATGAACCGCGAGGAAGGGCAGTTACAAGGACTAAGATATTTAATATGAGACCACTTTTTCCTATCATTATTCTTAATTTCAAGCCATTTCTTAGCTGCTAGTTTTAATATTTTATAATTAGAGCAAACACAGGAAATCTCTTGTTGACAAATCTTCCTGTTTTGACTAATTTTGACAGTCATTGTACAGTTCAGAAATATTGAGCAACAGTAACAAATAACGGTATCAATAAAATAAAATAAAACATAATAAAATCAAGAGACTGGAATGTTGATGATGCCATGGGCCCACTGGCCATCGCCATTACCATCGTCTCAACTCTTGCTGCATGACCTATAATATCGGTCGTGTAACGTGTTGTTACGTTGTTGTCGGGATAAATAATTAACGGTAAACGATTCGTCACGAATCCTTCGTGATGTTTTATCTCTATTTCAGAACGATCACAGTAATGTCACTATGACAGTTTAGAAAAAAAATACTGCAATTATTTCGGCTGGTCCTTGTAATGATTTTTGTTTTCCCAATACAATTTATTTGAGAACTTTAGAATAAAATGGAGGTGTTTAATAAATTCTACTCATCTGTTAGCAATACAGTTTCACAGTTGTCTGGAGTTTTACCGGGAAATCCAGTGACTAGAGAGTTTGAAGCTACGCAATTCATCGCCAGCGCTGGTCCAGGTAAATACAATAAAACTACATTGCATACTATTCTATTCTCCTTTATTCAACTGAGAATATTAACTCAAGCTTCATTGTTACAGGTTTATTATGGAAAATTTACAAAGGGTATAAAAAGTCGACCAAGCAAGAGGCTTCAATATTTGTGTTCGAGAAGAAACATCTGGAGAGATGGTCGAAGGCTGATAGAGACATAATGCTGGAGACACTGAGGCGTGGCATCGTGCAGCTGACGAAACTGCGGCACCCGCAGATACTCACGGTCCAGCACAGCCTTGAGGAGAGCCGCGAAAGTCTAGCTTTCGCCACTGAACCAGTTTTTGCTAGTTTAGCCAACATTTTGGGCAACACAGAGAACATGCCGCAGCCTGTGCCCAACCATTTGAGCAATTATAAGCTCTATGAGCTGGAAATTAAGTATGGTTTGATGCAGATAGCTGAAGGATTAGCATTTCTGCACAATGATGTGAAGCTTTTGCATCACAATGTGTGCCCGGAGTCGATAATAGTGAACCAGCAGGGCGCATGGAAGATATTTGGGTTTGATTTTTGTATTGCTAACCAGAGTGGTCCAGGTGCAGCTCCGTTCTGGCCTTTTACTGAGTACTGTCAGGCCATGCACCCTCTGACGCAGCCAGTTCTTGATTATTTGGCTCCTGAGTACGTCCTTTCAGCAACACATTCCCCTGCAAGTGACATCTTCTCTCTAGGAATGGTTATTTATGTTCTGCACAGCACAGGCCACCAAACGTTGGGGAATGTTGGTAATGATTACTCAAAATTTAAACGGTTTGCCACCGAGATAAGAAATCTGCCTTCTTCAAGGTTATCTTGTGTAGTTGATGGGCTCAGAGATTATGTGAAACTTATGCTGAATGCTACTCCAGAGCTAAGGCCAGATCCACATCAATTCTTAAAAGTAAGTTAATTTGTAAACTAAACATAATTATCTAATTTTGCTTATTTATTATTTACATTGTCTAATCAATCATTATTTTTACAGATTTCATATTTTGAAGATGTGGGTGTAAAAACTCTCAACTACCTGGATTCTTTATTCCAATGGGACAATTTACAAAAATCACAGTTTTACAAGGGCCTGCCGCAGATAATACAGAAAATGCCACACCGGATATGCATTTACCGAATCCTGCCATGTCTCTCAAAAGAGTTTGTGAACCCGCCTATGGTGCCATTTGTGTTACCGAACGTTTTGCTGATCGCCGAGAATTCTACGAAGGAGGAATTCATAAAGTATATCCTGCCAGTGTTGAAGCCAGTCATGATGATACAAGATCCGATTCAGATATTGTTGATATTCATGCAAAAGATGGAGCTTTTGTTGAAACTGACCCCAGGAGATGAAGTTAAGAGTGATATACTGCCGATGTTGTATCGGGCTTTGGAATCTGATGCCCAGCAGATACAGGAACTTTGTTTATCTGTCTTACCCACTTTTGCATCTTTAATTGACTATCCGGCGATGAAGAATGCACTTCTGCCGCGAATCAAGAAGCTGTGTATGAGCACAAACTACATCTCAGTACGAGTGAATTGTTTGCTGTGTCTTGGCAAGTTGCTGGAGCATTTGGACAAATGGCTGGTGTTGGATGAGATTATACCTTTCCTGCCTCAGATACCATCTAGGGAGCCTGCTGTGTTAATGGGGATTTTAGGTACTTATAACTTCGTTAATTTCATTAAGGCTGGGTTACACCATCTTACTTTAACTAACGTCAAAAATCTGTCAAACTTCATACAAAATCACCTATTATGGTTAAAGTAAGGAGGTGCAACTCAGCCTAAGGTTTAGATGAGAATGTCACTGGGTAATATGAAGTTCTCAATCCTTCTTTCTATGATTCCAGGTATTTACAAGCTTGCTCTAAGCCACAAGAAGCTAGGAATCACAAAGGAGGTTATGGCAACAAAAGTGTTACCCTTCCTCATTCCGTTATGTGTTGAGAATGGCTTGACATTAAATCAGTTTAACGCACTCATCACATTGGTAAAACAGATGATTTCTAAAGTAGAAACAGAACACAGAGCAAAGTTGGAGCAACTGAATTCCATCCAAAATGAATCCAAGTACGTAACTAACTCATTTGTTTTAACACTGCCATTTAGCTAAGCTAATTTAGGTGTAAAATAAAAAAAAATACAGTGTATGCCATTCTCAAGTTCACCCCTTCCCTTTCACTGGTCATTGTGGAAATCCGAAGACCTTTTTGGCCATCAGTGGATAACGAAGGAATGAACGATTATTAAACAAACTTAATGGTCCTTCGAGCCTGATATGAACTAGATATCTATGGAGCCAGTCATGTTCGATGGTCAAAGTGATAAGCCGTCGAATAAAACCATCCTCTTTCAATTACTAAATGTAATTAAATATTCTCAACTTTCCAGAGTGATGGAGCACTCACTGGCAGCTACAGACAACTTGGTGTCAGCGCCCGCGCCGCAGACCGACATAGACAAAATGTTTTCCGGTTTAGGATTGGATCCGTTCTCTTTTCAAAACTCGAAGGGACCGGAGAAAGGCGAGCCGGCCATGCCGAATGTGGGCGACAACAGCGGGTCGCTTAGCATTGAAGAGAAACAAAGGTTCGTTGAGATATTTATATTTTGTTAGCTTTCGACTGGCTTCGCCCACGTGAAATTAGATCTGTCACAGAAAATCTGTTTCCATTCAAACACCTGGGTCTATCCTGTCTATAAACTAAATTTTATCTAAATCGCGATCTAAGTGTGAATGAAAGAGTAACAAACATTCATCTATGAAACTATCTAAGATTTTTGAATTAAATACTTTTCTTTAAATTATATTCATTTAATTTCAGGATAGCACAGCAGCAAGAAACAGTCCGCAAGTTCAACAACCAGCCGGCTCCCACTGCCATTCCGGCCATTCCAAAGCACCCGCCTCGGACCGTAGACCTCACCAGCTCCCTCCTACAATCTAACCTCTCCCAGCTCACCTCTCACAAGTCTTTCCCCTCCCCTGCCCCTACCAAACCCCCCCTTAACATGACGCTATCAAGTCCCAATTATAATGTCCAAACAGGACCCAACTATAACGTAAACCAACCCAGACCGTACCAATTCCCAGCGTCCAATCCCAACAGTCTCCCCGGGTTTGACAACCAACTCGCTTTACCACCCAATACCGGCTGGAATCCCCAAACGACTGGTAACTTCAATAACAAATGGGCCAATAACCAAAATCAGCAAACGAATATGAAACAGGATTGGTCAGCCTTCGAATCTCTTTTACCGAGTCAGAGCAATAACAATCCGACCACCAATAACAATGTTAAAAAGTTAACCGACAGCGAAATGATGGATTTGCTTAGCTAAACTCGGATGAAGAACAGGGTCTCGAGATTTCGTTATTTAACCGTTTTACAAAGTAGAATTAAACTGGACTGGTAAGTGAAATAGAAAACATTTTACAAAATCTAATCTAATGAGAAAATCGAGGAGAAATCGAGTCGGACCACGCACTTTTTACTACATTAATTAATTTATATTTCATACTATCATTATTAAATCCACTAGTAGTAAATTACGACCGTAATCAGCATGTATACTTACTTATTTCATAATTATTATGTATCAGATTTTACATTAAATACTAAATGTTTAAAAAAATACTATTTAATGAAATAGGGTCTGAACACTTCATTTAAAGAAAATCATGTGCACATTCCTATTATTTTTAAATTATTGTTGATAAAATGAGGGTACGTAAGCATTTGACCATTTTTGTATAAATATTTTATTTATTCGAATTTACATAAAAATAGAATAGCTTTTATTAAATAATGAATTACAATTATTTTGTTTGAATCTGCTGTTATATTTAATACACAAAATTCACGCAATTTGTTGGAAATTACGTTTTTATATTTTAATTGGTGGTGCTATAATTTTTATTGTTTTTAGATGTTTCAGCAGATTTGTTTACACTCTTAATCTATGACAAGTGTAAAACCTGACTGCAATAACTTTGTCGATATTCTTTGGGTTGTTTTAAACAACATCACTATTGATAAAAATATTGGACCTTATTAGCCCAATTCTGCTATTTTAGTCCAAAAGAAGGTACAGAATACAAAGCATTTTTTTTAAAATGCGGCGAAGATAGTGCAGTCAGATATTTATTATTATTTGTATAATCTTGATCGACATGTATGTTTGTCCATAATTATCCTAGTGTAACTAATTTAATGAATAGTCGCATAAAATCGTTTTATCTATCAACTCCATTATTATATTAGGAAAACTGATCTCTTAATAAATAGATTAATGGAAAAAATACTTTTCTTTATGGTAACATTATTTTTCTTATTTCTAAAGTAAGTTGTATAAAAATTAACTATTCTTCGTCATGATTAACTTTTTAAAGCGCTTCTATTTCAGTCTAAAATCTTGAGTCTCGACTGAGCCACTGGTAGTTAATGCAATTTACATACTCACTTATACAGACAGGAGGTGGGTTTTTATGGCCATATAATCTTTACAAACAAACCACCATGTGCCACGGATCTACAATAGATTGGTATCTCAGATCATAGATGATCTGAGATTGGTATACTACAGGTTTCACTATACTGTACAGCCCGGTCAAGCTAACTGCGCATTTGGCAGCCGTGACGTCACATCGACGCTCTGGTATGGACGGGCGAACGCGGGGAGGTGTGCGGGTGAGTGCGAGGGAGAGTCGCGAGAGCGAGATGCGCAGTTAACTCGACGGGGATGCACTAAAGCCTGGTCCATGAGCACGTAGAATTTTGTCGCGACTGTGCGACGGGCGCCCGCAGTGAGTGTGCGAGCGCGACAGCAACATAATTACGCGCGAGCGATAAGGATGGGTAGCTTGGGGTCATTGGACAAAATTCTACGTGCTCACGGACCAGGCTTTAGACGTAACGTGCTTTCTGACGCGTATAAATCTAATGAAACAATGTAGCATCGCAATAAGTACGTACAATATTGGAGCACACGTCAAATTCCTCGTCAAACCCCCTTAGCAGAAACTACGCCTATACTACGATACAAAACTGATCATAAGCACTGTCTTGCACTATCTGCGTCTTCTAAAAGAAAACGCCAAGAACATCGCAGCAGTGACCGCCTGCAGGATAGCAGCTGTTAAAAAGCAGGTTCTGTATTCGTAGTTCCTGACCAAAGACCAGGTGAGGATGAAGGTAGCTACAATCAGGTTAGTCGCGGTGATGGTGGCTGTTGTATCGAACTCGTTGAGGGTGCTGTTGTATAGCGGCTGTAGGAGGATGCTGGAGGAAGCGGTGGAAATACTGGCGAACATGCACCAGAGGATCAGCAAGCTCCTGTTGCCTGATAAGGTGATTCCTGGCAAAAGAAGCAAAACCCTTAATGTACATGATTAGAATAATTTAAAGACTAACCTAGGAAAACTATTGACACTATTGTACAAAGCCCGATGACAGCTTCTGGATTAGAAAACCAGCATATTATGCTTTGGTTTCTTTTATTTCAAGGTCTCTGCTATCTATTAAAGAGCTATCCACGGACATCATCATTATCACATCAAGAAGGACAGAATGCTGGATTATAGGATTATAGGCCTCTCTCTATTTCCATAGAAATTCAAGCAGCTAGTATCCAGCAAAGACCTGCTATCAGAGGTATCACTATTTTTGGAGGCTTACCATAAAACCCAAGTGCGCCAACCACACAGAAGAAGGCGCAGAGTCGAGTTTTTTCATTGATGTCCTTGGGCATGGCGAGACAAAGCATTATGAAGCAGAGAGCCGCGCCGTGTCCCATCGCGATCGTCGTTGCAACCTGAGGAAAGTGGAAGAAAACTAAAATTACCATACCTATAATAGAAAATTGGATTTACCGGATATTCGAGGCATCACTCTATTTACTGCAATCAAATGTTAGTCATGTTAGTATAAATTAGATTAAACCAATAGGACTTGGTGATTCAGCTTACGTTTGTTTGTCACGTGACTGCAATTAGTATAATTTTATGTATTTAGGTGCTCCTATCATTAGCCACCCCTGTTATTACTTAAACTAACATTGTTATCTGCTTATCGGCTACATACTAATCAATCTTATTTATTGTGGATTATTTTTTCATATGCTTAAGTAATTCGATAGATACGTACCCACCAAATATTCTGAGGGACCTGCACCCAAACAAATGCTGGTAAGAAAACTCCCAAGACCACGATTGAAAACGTCGTGCAAAGGTGCAGCAGCGCGTACAAATAAAAGTTGACGTCCATCAGCATGTTGGCTATTGTGATCAAATTCTTCTTCAATGATGCTGTTCGTCGGATCGTCCCGACCGTCGGTTCAGTGGCAAATACTACGTTGCTTTGAGGTGCATTTACTGTTGTCTCCCTGTACAGAGGTTGAGGATTCTGATTATCCCTATCTATGTCTTCGAGTTCCTGATATCTGTGAGTTCCGGCACTACCGGCGTAGTTCATGATGTCCATGGACCCAAAGTTGGATGAAAATCTATTAGAAGAAGTTTCGGCAAACATTGAGCTAAAATCTGAAGAGAACCGATGTTGTTGATCGTTTACTGTAGCAACGCTACTTTCTCTGAACTGTACAGCTGGATCCAGAATTTCTCTAGCATTGTTCCGTGATTTGAAAACGACGACATCATTGTCGTCATCCTGGATTGTGCTCTGTGGAGGGCTTTGTGTAGCTGGTGCTGGATTGGGTTGGTTTTGATTGGAGTATATGACTTCGTCTTCATCTTCAGCTGCGTCGCGGAGCATGTTGTAGGTTGTTCTTATGACTTTCTCTATGTAGACTGGCCTGGTGTAGGAAGCGAGGAAGAGACAGTTCTGCATCAGAATTGCTGCGTATATCATTACAATGATGTCGCCACTGTATACAGTGCACAGGTAGCCGATCACGAGGGGAGCCAAGAAGTTGCCTATCGATGGAGCCATGCGAACTAATCTCTGAGCTATCGTGAGATTTTCTCGGAAGTAATGAGTTATTATAACTTCTGTCTGTTGTCCTGTTAAAGCCCATCCCGTACCTGTAAAGTTAAATCAAATTGATTTGAAATGACTGAAACAATGAATAATCCGTAAGTTGGTAAACCCCCTCCCCCCTACGTCTCTTCTGTGAAGATAAACCTACTAAAGCACCTACAGCTTCTTTATAACAACGTACTAAAAAGTGTCCCTCAAGGAACATATTTGGGTCCATTGTTGTTTCTATTCCATTTCAAATGTTTTAACTATCATTTGCCGCATTCATTGAAGTATTTTGTATGTGCAATTATACAATGAATATCAGTCAGTCCAATGAACTCCTCCATACAAACATACTCTTTATTATTCATAATAATACAAACATACACTTTGATCGATTGTCATAAAATTAGTGTTAGAATGATAATTTATGTAAGCAAGTTTTTAACTGTGACTGAGCATTCACAATAACTAACAAACTACACAACACCTGTGCACACAATACAAGTTCAATGCCACTAATAAAGATGTCGTGACGTTGATCATAATAACTCACCTGCGAATATCCCTGAGAATATATTCACTATGTGGTCATTGCTATAAGTATCTGTTGAGTAACTAGATAACAGAACCCCGGCGACAGTAAGGCACAGCCCTGCCAGACCCATGAACCTTGGCATGTTGAAGATTTTCACCACCGCTCTGCACCACGACTCCAGGAGGAGCCTTATAACCACCATAATAATCGGCACTAAAGCTATATCCATATCCCATATCTTCCGCGATTCCTCTTCATCGTGATCCTCATCCCTGTTAGCTCTGAGGATCACCAAACCGTAAAGAGTAAGTAAACTCGGGATTGTACTGTTGTATATCGATGCAGACACTACGATCAACCACCCGTAGCCTCCATCGGGAGGAGTTGGTCCGATTTCGGGCTGTGTCGCCACTACTCTGTCCAAATGTAAATCCTGGACACGAGTTTCGCGACGTTCTGTTCGGTTAACTTCCTGACTTCCAAGGTTATCCATGGTTTTCACACAATAAACAACAAAATCATGACTAAATTGACTAAGCAGCAAATGAATTATCCACTAAAGAATGGGTGTGTTATCTTATCATTTATCATTTCTCGTAATCTCTTGCTCTACATTTTAAAAATCACCGCGCGAGTGTTGTGGTGTGGTCAATGTAAAAAATAATACAAATGGAAAACTACAAATTAACTTAATTTTATTAAGGTTAAACCCTAACTTAAAACACATGAAAAATGTACGTTAAAAATATTTAGCATTCACCTAAAAATTACAAAAATGTAATCAAAACAAAAGCTTGTCATTATTTCTGAACGTTCAGATTCTCAAAAACTGCTACAAATTATAACGCAACCCATTCAAAGAGTCTCCTTTAAAATGAAGTTTGGTGCTAGAGCGAGATAAAGTATCCATCCAGTCACGAGTAAAAAAGAGACAAAACAGTTTTAGTTTTTTCTTATAACCTCTTTTCGTTATCCTCATTACAAATAATGAATTATTCCGATCGGTCCAGTAAACGACGCTCCTATTAGAAAATTTTACAATTTTACGATAATGCAAAGGTATTTTCCATTTGTTTACAAATAAAACGAAACAAAGTGAAGTAACAATAATTTTGGTGCATGGAAATTAGTGTAAATCTGCATGGAACAGTGTTTTTCTTCGTGTTCATAGTTCCGTGAAGCTCGAGTATTTTAATTGCCCTGAATTATCCTTTTGATTGCCTGGAACGCGTCTGATTGCAGATTTAACTGGGCATTAGCTGATGGCTGAGACCGGGCCAGTGCGATTGTGTGGTTAATGATGGAGACGGAGTCTGTAAGGTCTGAACTGAGTAGCCGGTCGCGGCGGAGTTCCAGGCACAGATCGCACACCCATCGGAGCACCCGGTGAGCTATTGATTAGTAATTAAACCTGGGAATTACACCAGCTGCTGTAAAAGTTAAATAGGTAGCTAGAAGAGTACAGTGGTAACAGTATTTGTGTTACTTTGTAAATAGGTCAGGCATGTTACTGTGTGCACTACATTTTTGTGTACATTTCTACAAGTAAACGTGACATTTAGTGAAACTGGGACTAAAATCTAAGAAGTAAAGAGTAATAAGTGCTGCAATTTAAACATATTTGTTGCAACTTGTGTACAAACCTTACATTTTAATAATTTTACAAATAATTCTTTGCAGGAGTTCAAAGTCACAGAGAAAAGAATCCAGCGATATGGCACCATTCCAAACAAGTGTAAATATCAACCCTGAAATGGGCAGAGATGGTCAGGAAGTGATAGAAGTTCAAATCCTACCCCAAGACGAAAATTGGGGAGAAAATACCACTGCTGTGACAGGAAACACTTCAGAAGGCTCTCAGTCTATGGAAGATGTCAGTAACTGGCCCATGGAGTCTGATAGTGGAATTGGATTTGTCTGTTCCAGATATTTTGGAACTACCATTGCACTTGGCCTATCATTTGTATCATTTGTGAGCCCTCTTGCTATGGTAGTGCTGCCAAAAATTGGATTCTTTCCAGGACTAACAGATAACATAGCAATACAACCAAGCCAAAGGATACAGCTGCTCTCGTGCACTGCTGAATGTAAAGGAATTCTGCTATCATTAGCATTTAAGTTAGTTTTGCTAGCCATTGGAGTTTGGGCGGTGTTTTTACGGCCCCGCAATGCCATTCTGCCTCGAATATTTGTATTCCGTGCAATGACTTTAGTCATTCTGGCAGTTTGTATATTTTCATATTGGCTGTTTTATATAGTGCAAATTACTGAAGCAACAAAAGCTTTAGCAGTGGGAGAAGAGGCCATAGATTATAATTCTTTAGTTTCCTATGTATCAAGTTTTGCTGATACTTTACTTTTTATACATTATATAGCTGTAATATTGATGGAGATTAGGCATTTAGAGCCTGTGTACTATATTAAAATAGTAAGGAGTCCTGATGGTGAAAGCAGGTCATATGCTATCGGACAGTTAAGCATTCAAAGAGCTGCTGTCTGGGTGTTACAGAAGTATTACACAGAGTTTCCGATTTATAACCCATATTTGGAGAAGATATCTATATCAAAATCACAGAGGAAAGGGCAGTCAAGCATCAAGTTTTATGATGTGGATGGGTCCAATACAAATGCACCTTCGGGACAAGCCAGGTAAGGAAATTTCAAGTTCTTGGGTGCTTTTATTTTTTGTCTTGGTTTTTATAGAAGAAAAAATGTCAATTTTCTTACTCACCACACTTGTGTGTGTAATGAATGAAAGCTCTAACACAAGTTTAATTTCATCTTTTCTAACTTCTTTATTTTTACTTTTTTGGGTATTTTTATTTTCTACTAGCGGTCGCCCGCGACTTCGTACGCGTGGATACCGTTTTATTTACCCTCTTAGGGGTGGAGTTTCGTAAAATTCGTTCTTACTGAGCACCTACGTTGTAAAATAAACCCTCATGCAAACATTTCAGACTCGTAGCACTTGTAGTTTCTGAGATTTCGTGATGAGTGAGTCAGTCAATCAGTGACCTTTCGCTTTTATGATAATAAATATTTTCTATTTAAGAGTCTATCTTAGTTTTTAGAACAAATAATCTCTATGTTTCCAGGTCTACGACCGGGTCTTGCACGGGCAGCGCGAGAGGCCGGCGCGATTCGGGCTCGGCGCACAACGAGCGCTACTACGAGGAGGCGGAGCGCTCGCGGCGCGTGCGCAAGCGGCGCGCGCGGCTGCTGTGCGCGGCCGAGGACGCCTTCGCGCACGTGCGCCGCGTGCGTCTGACCAGCGCCAACGGTCAGTGTGCATCAATTATAGTCTGGTCCGTGAGCACGTAGAATTTTGTCCAATGAGCCCAAGCTACCCATCCTTATTGCTCGCTTCTTATAGTACTTCCCGAACGCTGCCCAGCCGAAATGGATTCGATCGCGTAATTATGTTGCTATCGCGCTCGCACACTCACTGCGGGTGCCAGTCGCACATTCGCGACAGCAATATAATTATGCGCGAGCGATAAGGATGGGTATAGTCTGGTCCGTGAGCACGTAGAATTTTGTCCAATGACCCCAAGCTACCCATCCTTATCGCTCGCGCGTAATTATGTTGCTCTCGCACACTTGACAAAATTCTATGTGCTCACGGACCGGGCTTTAGGTCTAGAACTCGGGCTCGGCGCACAACGAGCGCTACTACAGAGGCGGAGCGCTCGCGGCGCGTGCGCCTCTCCAGCGCCAACGGTCAGTGTGTTAGATATGTCAGTTATGTGCCAGGTAATGTATCATAAAAATCGGTCCAGTCGCCTCAGAGTTCTGTCGAAATAAAACCTCCCCCAACTAACCATATTTACAAAAGATGCTTGCTTATGGGAACAGCAAATTGAACGCACAGCGTTGAATAGAGCTCTGTGATTGGTTCGTGTGTCACCCTGTGCGTCCACGCGCAATGTGAGACCTCATAGTAATGTTTGTGAATACGGGTGTAAATAGGTACTCGTTACAACTACGCTTGTGTAGAATAACTACAATTCGATGGAAATCAAATTGCGAAGGTCGGCAATTTGATTTCCATCGAATTGCTTATTGGCAACTTATTTTGGTGACATGATTTGTCGCTTTAAGGTTGGATTGCAATTGACTATGCAGCGACACTGGGAAGCAGCCGTGCTACCTTAATGCGACACACCAAATTATCAAAAGAACATTTTGACGCTTTCTGTCACGCCGCGCAATGCAGCGCAGTGCCGCTTCAAATGCTGCATTGCACATGACAAAAATGTTTTATTATTATTATTATTTTCCGTTTAGTAAAAGTATTACCATTTGTATTCTTAGGAGGCGCGCTAGGTCCGCGTGAAGCGGCACAAGCGGTGTTCCCGTCACTCGCGCGTGCGCTGCAGAAATATCTGCGCGCCACGCGACAGCAGCCCAGGCACTCCGCCGACTCCGTAAGTTGACCATGACCATTACCATAACTATAACCCAGGACAGACTGTCCTGGCGTCGCAGAACGAGGAGACCCGACCCCAAATCATAGGAAAGGGCTAGGGCAAAAAAGAAGATTATTACTGTTGCTGTTGGTTTTCCGAATAAAATAAAAAAAATGAAAATAAAAAAAACCTAGCTAAGGTATGGATCGTTTCATCCACGAGGACGCGCCCCACCATTCTTCCGCTAATGTTTGAGTGTTATCGGTACACGCTAAATTATCCATGAGTGCACACGCACACTACAATAATGACGCTCGGATTGCTCGGGTCAAACTCCCCGCACCCCGCGCGACCGAGACCAAACATTGGTAGGGCGCGTCTTCGTGAATAAAGCGATCTTTACGACGTGACGCACTTGCAAGCATAGCGGTCTTAATTGATTCCTGTAGAAGTGTGGGAGAGTTGACTTGTTCTGATAACAGAGCTGTCACGGTATCATGTCTGAAGCACTGAAGTCTCGCTAAGGTTAGACGTAACAGAAACACGGGTTCCACAGTTTCCACAAAGCTCCGTTATATTTCTCGCTGCTATAGTTTTCAGTTAAGTAGTGTGCCTGTAGTATTAATTCTGCCATGCGTCTCGTGCGTGTCAGTGTCACATTTACAACGATAATTACTCATAGAATGTTATAGTGTTAAAAAGTGTTAATTAGTTTAAACCTAGACTATAAAAAGTATTGAAATCTGATCATTAGATGTGTATGTGACAGACGATGCTAGACAAAAGCCCATTGTCTAAAATATGACAACCCATTGCAGGCAAAAAATGAAAACTTTAATTGCGCTTTCACATTTAGGCGACTTTAGCGGCGCGACAGACGCGCTTCCGATAATTTCATACTATGTGACAGCGGATGCATGCCTTCACATTATAAAAACGCCGCTGCCGCGCAGCTGTCGCGCTACTAACGCCCGGCCCTAATATGAAAGCGCTCTATGTTTCAATACGGCGATAGACAAAAGCCCATTGTCTAAAATATGACAACCTATTGCAGGCAAAAAACGAACTTTATTATCACTCTCACAAAACCTAACTTCACTTCTAAAACTTTCCAGGTATTAGCGCATCTAGCCCGCTGCCTATCCCAAGACGCGTCGCCGCGAGCCTTCCTAGAGCCTTTCTTCGTAGAAGGCCCGGTCCTATCAGCTGAACAGGAGTCGCGGCCTCTGCAGCGCTGGGCTCTTATCTCTGACGAACTTCTAGCAAGACCTCTGGCTTCTTCCGTGGAATTCCAGCTAAGGCAAGGTGACGTGTCTTTAATATGCTCTATCAAACAGCTGCCCAAGTTTAGTCTGTCTGAGGAAGTGGTTGACCCCAAGAGCAACAGGTTCATCTTGCGGTTAAACTCCGAGACGTCAGTCTGACAGGAGGGCAGCGCCCGCGACGGCCACAGATTCGTATGACAGTTGGACTTTATTTAGTTGGGTGGAAGTGATGACTCGGCCACGACTGAAAAGCTAAGGCTGGTGTGTAAGGGCGCAGAATCGAATCGCATTTCTTTTGTTTCAATAAAGGCCGTGGATTTACGGTCAATGAGGGCTATCGTTTTAGCGCTCACCAGTTAGCGCCACTGTAGAGTAAGGTCCTGTCACTTGCTAGTAGCGAAGACAGTGGCACCAACTGGTGAGCGCCAAAGTGGTAGCAGGACTATCGCATTTGCACTCATCAAGATGGCGCCACTGTAGAGTAAGGTCCTGTCAATCGCCAGGGGTGCCAACTGTTAAGTATAAAAACGATAGCCCTCATTGATTTCTCACTGAATGTAAATGTATTGAAAGTTGAAATGTAATTGTTTACAGTACACTTTTTTCTTATGTCAAAATGTCTCATACCTACTATTCCAAGATCGTGACTTTGTAATGAAATTATTTTAAATTAATTAAAAGCTTTGCTAAAAATTCAGCTCTTAGATTGTAAAATGTAACATAAAATTCGATTCTGCGCACTTATAGACGCCAGACTTAGCGATAAAGAGCTGGCTCATTTAATTTGCAGTGTGGCGTTGATTGCTACATGATTATAATGTATTTATAAATTAAATTCACCGCCTCATATAAAATTATTCGCTAATAAAGTCTGTGGCCGGTCGATAAGACTGTAGAAATAATTAGTTAGTTTTGCTAGATTAGTATTGAAATAGTATTTAATATCCAATGGAAGTTTGATAAGGCTGCTGTCTTGATTTGACTTTTAATACATGACAGAATCGGTAATTTTAATTAATATTGTAGTTAGTAGTTCAATCAATCAATTAATCGTGACATTTGATTAAATTATTAATTTATTTTATCAATCAATTACTCTACCTACAGCAGTTGAAAAAAGATCTGAATTATAGAAAGTCTGACTTGGCAGCAAGAAAATATAGGTTAAGTTAATCCCACAGTACAAGTGCAATCTAAATTATTGAATCTCTAAAGAATATTAGGTATAGTTCCAAAATACTGGACTGTCCTATCGATGACATTGACAGTGGGGCGCCACCGTCAATACCGGATTGCTGGTTCCGATTTTTGCCATGATGGAAACCATATAGTTGATCGATGGTAGCGCCCCCCTGTCATTGAGTTTGGTGGGACAGTTCAGCGTGGGTCATCTATAATAGTTCCTGGCTATGAAGAATGTCGTCTCTGTCACACTTATTTGGCAGCTATCACTTTTTAATCTTCAAGTTAAATGAGGAAAAGAGACGGCAATGTGTATTACTTCTTCCAGGTATTGTAATAAGGAGGCAACCGCCATTTTGACATTCTAAAAGACTCAAGCGCATTTACTTACTTTGATATTTTTTACAATTTGTTTTGATGATTTTTTTACAAGTATTGTATATTTGTGTCATATATTAGTACGATTTAGTTGTAGATGTTGATTGTATTTGTAAGTTATTTGCACAAATCTTAGATAGCATACATGGTAGTCACAATTTTGATAAAACTTATGTGTTGTGTAAAATCAGCACAAAGAAATCCACGTGTCATGCAAAAATCCAGTGAAATAAATAAAAATACGGACCAATGTGGTTCGTAAGTTTTGATGTAACAAGTAACTAATGCTTGAAGTTAATAAATCGTATTATGAGTGAATCACAGTATTTTGTATAGGTGTTATGTAACTTAGTTTATTACCATATCATAGTATAGAATTTATGATATTTATTATTATTAATTAGGAAAGTAAAAAGCTGTTAAGCGCAAAATGTGGCTAAGAAAAGTGAATATGCAAAAGCTGTGCATAACTTAATCTTTTTATAAAAAAATATTCAGTGAAGTAACTAACAAAAAAATTTACTTTTATAAAATTATATTCTAAAAATTACTTAATATTGATAAGCAAGCCAAAACTGCGCAGTGTTTTGATGAGACTGTAAAAAAACGTTTGATATTTTTAAACCTTTTTAAAAATAATGGTTGTGCAATGTGCATAGACGACGCGAGACTCAAATCAAAACCATAGATCATAGAAAAATGAACCCAAAATCATTGGGATTCCATTGCTACTGAACATATCAACAAGAGAAAAATCGACAAATGAATGCCATAAGATCCTACATAAGAACTACGTTGGGTCTTTTGCAATCTTTTACTCATGCTTTAAAATGGAAGGAAGGAATGAGACATATTATAATAAATTAGTATCAATTTTATATGAAACTTTAAATGCTCAAATTGCCTTTGTAAAATGCTTGTGCCTGCTTGGAACGTAAGGAATTGTAGATATAAACGTTTTGGAGGATTGTCTAGGATAATAATTTCAAACTAGTGGTGTTCATGAAATTTTATATAAATAGCAGAAGGTTTATACTATATCTATCACAAATATTGTTTACATTGATATTATTTAATTTTTATACTGTTATAATACGCTCCTGTTACGAAATGACATGGTATAGTACTTATTCAATATGCAAAAAATGTGTTTGTTTGTCACAAGTCGGTTTTAATTTGGCAAGGACTGAATACTCGGGATTCTCAGCACAAATTTTTGCCTTTAGGAAATTATAAGCACTACTTAAATTGTAATCGTTTGTAAAACAATTTGTACACTTTTGTATTTTTAAATATAAAGTGAATTTTGCAGTGAATCTTTTATTTTGCAGCATTATAATTATAATGTATTGTTATCTAATAGTTATCTTAATTCTAAGCATAATGGTGTCATGAATATAATTATTGCACAAATCCGTAATAACTAAACGATAATAATACTTTGAAAAATACATTAATAACGTGAAACAAAACAAAACATGGCGTTGCTGTAATATTAGCGTTAACAGATTAAGCTGACTCATTTTCAATACAGTTTCAGTCGGTCTACAATATTTAATGTGACGTCATAATTTCACAAAATCTAACAAAGACGGTCTTAAATACATTAAACTACGAGCACAGCCGGCGTAATATTAAAATTAAAAACAATAACAACAAAAATCTTGATTTTAGTTATTCCCAGGACTGTTCATAGGTAGCATAGTGTATGCAGCCGTCGGTGCCGTATACATATGAGTTATGAAACCTCCTCGAGACTGGTATTTGGGTACATAGACGAAGAGCCAGATGGCTATGGATGCTAGACACACGCAAAACGCGATGACGGCGATGACCAACCCTATGTGGTGAACGGTCAGGGTACAAGAGAAGTATTTGGAGTCGAGCTCGAAGATCTTGCTGTTGTAGAAAGGTTTTGGCGAGCCGCACCTGAAAGAGTAGATTTATTTTCAGGGGTTTGAAACATGTTTAGTTTCTCTTGGGTACTTAGAATTTTATTGTCTATCAAAGGAATTGCCATTTGTAAAGCTAATGTCGTCACAAAAGATCGTCTACTAATGCTCTACTTTAATTAATGTGCAAAGTATCAGAGATGGAAAATTATTTGCCGGTAATCTCAGATTAATTAGCTGTAAATTAATGACGTCATTGTAGTGGTTATCATATTCTTTGTTTTGAGAAACTTGTTTTGTAAAACGGTTATTGAACTTTAAATAGAAAAATAATAATAATGATAAAGCACTCACCTCAAATGTTCGTAATATTCGGGCTGTATCTGTAGCGTTTTTAACCACGTCAACTCACAGTCGCACTTCCACGGGTTGCCTTGAAGGTCCAGCAGATTCAGCTGCCCGAACGGCACCGCCAGATCTTTCTCTAGCTTCGACAGTCTTGATCCTTTCAGGGACAGTTTTTCCAAAACAAAATAATCCGGGTCATCCAAAACCTCCTGTCCGAAAGCTAGAGAGCTGAATACTGTTAAGTTCTTATTCCTCTCCAGTTCTAGATGTTCCAGACCATGTAAAGGCGCGAAAACATATTCGGGAACCTCTTTGATTCGTAAATTATTCAGTTTCAGCACTTTAAGTCCAGGCAGCTCCGAAAAATCCTCTTCGGAGATTTCCGTGATCGGATTGTCGGACAAATCCAAATATTCCAACGTGAACGGGAATTCGAACGTGTCCGTCAAATTGTTGTGCGAAATGATTAGTGTTCTTATGTCGTAAGCGTCCGAGAAAAAGTTGTCGGGAACTTCATTTAAATGTAGGCCGCTTATACTCAAGCTCTGTATTTTGTGCGTCAGTCCGAATCCCTCCCTATCAAACAAACTAGTGTCCATCAGATCGGGCCCTAGGACGTTATTGTCCAAAACGAGTTCGTTCAGATTACTCAGCCGATGGAAACCGACATTTTCGTGAGTCGTTAATCTATTGTTAGCCAAATTCAAATACTCCAATTTATTCACACCTCTGAACGCTTCTTTGTCTATGTATTCCAGTCTGTTGTGACTCAAATCCAACCATTTCAGTCGAGGAAAACGCAATATCTTGGTTCTTATTTCTTTGATTGCGTTGTTATCTAAACTTAGCTCGATCAGTGTAGTCGACTTTAGGATATTAGATGCTTCCAGCTGTGTGATGTTGTTTGACGACAGATCCAAGGAGTACACAACACTTGGAAGGCTGAAGTTAGTCCTAAAAATGTTCGCACTACCGTTGTAATATGAACAGTCAACATTTTCTCCTAGATAGTCTTGATTATCTTGCACATTATCTCGGCACACACAGTCTGCACAAATGTTTGCACTAATAACATTATAACTGATGATCAAGGTGATTATTATGAAGGGTTTCATTTTCCGTTGGCTCGCTAGGAGGCAGTGATACGTAGTGAAATTGTTATCAGAGCCGGGCGTGTGATAGCGTTATCATATCGATATTCCTTTTGTTGGTCATTTCGCTTTGTTTACTAGCGCGCGCCTGATAAAGGTGAGCGCTGATGACACACTTCTCGCGGACCGATAATAATAGACTCTATTGACATGGCATCACGGCACGTGACGTCGCCTTTCTTATTCAAATATTATGGATTTAGATTCTAGACAAAGGTTTACATTTTTATTTATTCAAATTAAAATCCGCACAGATAGGTACTACAGAATACTGAATAGGAATACATACATATGGAATGAATTTAATAAAAACAATAGGTTCTTAATGTATTACATTTATTTCACTGTTTTTGCACGTAAAGTTGTAATATACAAATGAAAGACTTAATATTAATAGTCAATATCTACCAGTCAATCATTGGCCAAGCAGATATATTCAGAAATCAGAATAAATTATGGTGGTGGTGAACAAGATATCATAATTTATTAGAAAAAACATTGTATGTATTTACAGTTTACAAGCTTATTAATTTCTACTCAAAAATACTTGTTTAAATGGATTTTATCGCAAAGATTCAGGTTAATATTTAAAGGAAGTCGTTTTGGTCGAGTCAGAAACGACTACGTGTGTTTTGGACGATGCCTTTCGCAGTTGGATCCTCGTGAGCCTGTAAGACAAAAAGAAGTTTTATTTTTCCTTCGACACCGTCATCTTTCAGAAATCAATCAGTTATCGCAGCGTAAGTAAATGGTAACATATGTAGTTAAAATAAAAGTAACATATTGATTAGTTTAGAAGTGGTTAGAGGTTGTGGTTACATAGTTCAATTTATTACAGGTTACAACTCGCCCATCATACGCTACATAAGGTGTGCTTCTGAGCTCGTTCACTAGGAAAGCTGTACTACACAAATAGCTTAAAGACAATAGGAGTCCTGGGCTCGGTTTTCCATAGCTGTTTTTGTGTGAGAGAGACAGAGAAGAGGGGGTATCCTTAGATCCTTAGGTAGAAGTCCTAGGGCCGGTGTACCACAGCTCGTTCTTTACACACTCCAGCTAGTCTTATTCTAAAGCCTGGTCCGTGAGCACGTAGAATCCCGTCCAATGACCCCAAGCTGCCCATCCTTGTCGCTCGCACGTAATTATGTTGCTGTCGCGCTCGCACACTCACTGCGGGCGCGCGTCGCACAGTCGCGACAGCAATATAATTACGCGCGAGCGATAAGGATGGGTAGCTTGGGGTCATTGGACGGGATTCTACGTGCTCAGGGACCAGGCTTTAGCATGAGTGACGGGAGTGGACTTCAGGCTTGTTCTAGTTACCTTGATGACAATAGAAGTCCTAGGCCCGGTGTTCCACAGTTCCCCGCGCTCGTCCACGAAGGCGCATTCCACAGCCACAGTGTAGAGGCCAGCAGCGTTGACGCCGACCAGTTGCTGCGCCGCGAAGAAGTCGCGCACTGGTGTTACTGTTTGAACTGCTGTTAGGGCTGGCTGGATGTTTGTAAGCTCCACCGTCTGTTACATTTGAATAAAATAGAATGGACTTTATTGAACACAGTGAGCACAATTTATAAATAAACAATAACCAAGAGGAAAAAAGCCAATAAGCTCTGCATTTATCTTGAAGCTGGTCTTCCGTGGAAGCCCTTGTATGGATTAACATTACTGTCACGAAGCCGTAACAGTAGAGTAGGGTTGCATGTATGTGTAAAAGTGATTTATAAAAGTAAAATTGCAAGAAAATAACATGACTTCAAGAAGAGCATAAAAATGAGCGATTGAAAGCTAATAATATGAAGTGTGAAATGTGAATATGACTATTCCCATAAAAGTTACCTTTTCATTGCTTCGAGGGTGAGGTGTGGCGGTGACCGTGATTTGTACTCCTTTGACTTGACGCTGAGGCTGGCGTTTGCTAAAAAATAAAATACACATGGCATAAAATACCATGCTTGAGGCAGCTTTTGAAGTTTGGGAAGGAATTTAAAAGTATTTCACACAATGTCAAAGTACAAAAGGCGAACTATCAAATGGCAATTTTTTTCACTTTTGGGCCAAATCGTTTGGTTACTTAAAAGGGTCGTGTATACCCTGCTACAACTCATGCTGAGTTGGGGAACTTTTTTGCACATATTTGGTTTTATACTGTTTTTCTTTTCTTTTTGAACTGTTCTTTTTATTCTGTGTACCAAGTAAAAACATCTCTTCTAATACCTGAGCGGCACAGCCGGCAGCACAACGCCCTCAAGCTTCAGTGCCAGTCGATGCGACAGCGGTAACGTGGCCGCGTATTCCGCCGGCGGGGCCCTCCACGCCGGGGTCAACGACACCCGACACAAGGCGCCCCCCGCGCGCCCTGCGCACACGCCGCGCGCCCATACAGAGCCTACGCTGCAAGCGCGGACCGCGGCTAGGATGGCTTCGGCGTGCTGCAATAGAAGCGGCTTTATAACAATGGCATAAGGTCCACAGAGCCGCGGCGCGCGCCACGCTGGGGTCAATGACACCCGACACAAGGCGCCCCCCGCGCGCCCTGCGTGCCCATACAGAGCCCACGCTGCAAGCGCGGACCGCGGCTAGGATGGCCTCTGCGTGCTGGAATAGATATAAAAATCTTCTGTCGTGATTCGTGGCGGGGGTACAGTGCGACGAAATGCGCATACGCCGCGTGACATCAACAGCCCACGGTGCAGGCGCGGACCGCGGCTACGATGGCTATGGCATGCTAGAATAGAAGCGGCTTTATAACAATGGCATAAGGTCTACAGTGCCGCGGCGTGAAGGCGCCCCTCGCGAGTCCTGTGCATACACCGCGCGCTCATACAGAGCCTACGCTGCAAGCGCGGACCGCGGCTAGGATGGCTTCCGCGTGCTGCAATAGAAGCGGCTTTATAACAGTGGCTTAAGGTCCACAGTGCAGCGGCATGCGAGACAGTACGTGAGAATGGACGACAATCTTGTGACGAAGATATAAGGTTCAATATCCGTTGGGCGAGTTCATGGTCTGCGCACACGCCGCGCGCCCATACAGAGCCCACGCTGCAAGCGCGGACTGCGGCTAGGATGGCTTCGGCGTGCTGCAATACATGACGATCTTATAGCAACGATATAAGGTTCACAGTGCCGCGGCGCGCGCCACGCCGGCGTCAGAGACACCCGACGTAAAGCGCGTCCTGCGCATACGCCGCGCGCTCATACGGAGCCCACGCTGCAAGCGCGGACCGCGGCTAGGATGGCTTCCGCGTGCTGCAATAGAAGCGGCTTTATAACAATGGCATAAGGTCAACAGTGCCATGGCGCGTGCCAAGCCGGGGTCAATGACACGCGACACAAGGCGCCCCCCGCGCGCCCTGCGCACACGCCGCGCGCCCATACAGAGCCTACGCTGCAAGCGCGGACCGCGGCTAGGATGGCTTCTGCATGCTGCAATGGACAACAATCTTGTGACGAATGTTAAGATATAAGGTTCAATATTCGTTGGGCGAGTTCATGGTCTGCGCATACGCCGCGCGCCCATACAGAGCCCACGATGCAAGCGCAGATCGCGGCTAGGATGGCTTCGGCGTGCTGCAATAGAAGCGGCTTCATAACAATGTCATAAGGCCCAAAGTGCAGCGACATGCGGGACAGTGCGTGCTAGAATGGACAACAATCTTGTAACGAAGATATAAGGTTCAAAATCCTCTGTTGTGATCAGTGGGACGACATGCGCATACGCCGCGTGACATTAACAGCCCACGCTGCACGCGCGGACCGCGGCTAGGATGGCTTCGGCGTGCTGCAATAGAAGCGGCTTTATAACAATGGCATAAGGCCCAAAGTACAGCACACGCAGAACCGCAGCTAGGATTGCTTCCGCGTGCTGCAATGGACAATCTTGTGACGAAGATCAATATCAGGTTCAATATCCGTTGGGCGAGTTCATGGTCTGCGAATACGCCGCGCGCCCATAGAGCCCACGCTGCAAGCGCGGACTGCGGCTAGGATGGCTTCGGCGTGCTGCAATAAATTACGACCTTATAACAACTACATAAGGGCCACAGTGCAGCGACACAGCGCGGCGCTGGGTGCCAGCGCGATCATCTCCTCAAGACAGGCTTCTTCTCAGCACTGGCCCATTTATTGTCCCGAAGCAGTGGTAGGGTTAATATTGGGACGTGTAAAAGTGCTTTCTAAAAGTCTATTTGTAAAAATAAATGAATTTTATGATTTTTTTATGAATTTTATTTTACACGTGGGCCGGATCTCCTTGGCGACGACGTCTGACGTACTACTAGCTACTAGAACTGATGGGCATTGAGAAAGAAAAGTTGTCGAGTGGCGATCACGCACCAGAAGACGTAACGAAGCACCTGAATGCGGGAAGCGCAGAACAAGTCGTGGAAGTTTTAGCAAGCACTTTCCCAACAACTCATCCTGTTTATGTGTAGTTCCTTGGTCTATCTTAAGAAAATAAGCGAGTAATCCGTCAACAAAACCTAAAACTCACCCGATGCGTGATGCCCTGCCCCGTCGTCGGGTTATCAAACAACTTGGCGGAAATCTTGGCGAGCGCGGCGCTGGGAGCCGACGCGATCATCTCCTCGAGACACGTGGGCCGGATCTCCTTGACTACTCGCGACTTGCATTGGCAGAGTGGGGGACATATTTCGTAGAACTAAACCCTGGTCTGTGAGCACGTAGAATCCCGTCCAATGACCCCAAGCTACCCATCCCTATCGCTCGCGCGTAATTATGTTGCTGTCGCGCTCGCACACTCACTGCGGGCGCCCGTCGCACAGTCGCGACAGCAACATAATTACGCGCGAGCGATAGGGATGGGTAGCTTGGGGTCTTTGGACGGGATTCTACGTGCTCACGGACTAGGCTTTAATGGGTGTTGAGTCAGAAAAGTCACGTGGCGACCATGGATCAAAAGAGTCCTCCCCTCGGTGGAATAACAATCTGTGACGGTCGCGGGAAGCACCTGAATGGCGGGCAACACAGAACCAGTCCTTTGGGGAGATTAACAAGCAATTCACCTTACCCTGTGTGTAATTTCCTGGTTTATCATAGGAAAATTAGCGACAGAAACCCGTAACTCACCCTACCTATGTGTAATGCCCTGCCCCGTCGACACGTGGGCCGGATCTCCTTGGCTACGATGTCTGACAGCTTATTTAGACGGAGCACATGGCTCGTAGAACTGAAGAAAAGTTCTCGAGTGGCGACCATGTACCAGAAGACGTAATGCAGACACCTTTCACTCGGTGGACGGATATCTGGTAAAGGTCTTTGGAAACACCTGAATACGAGCAGCGCAGGACCGGTCCTTTGTAGAGATTAACGAGCAATGTGGATGCAAAAATCATCTGTATGTAATGTCCTGGTATATCTTAGGGAAATTAGGGTTAGGTATTATCTGGCCCACCGAAAATCTGGTCCGCGGACCAGTTAATGACTTTTTAAAATACTAGTCTTCATTTCGTCCGAAGGTCCGGGCCAGATAATACCTGTAAAATCACTAGGGTATAACTCGCCCAATCTATAGTGAGATTTAACATCTGTTCTCAGTTAAAGGATTCGTGATAAATTGTTAGTTAAATAGCCAAATTCAAATTTCAAGCCCTTATAATTTTAAACTAGGTAATGACTTCGTGCATCTAAAAAGTGGAAAAAAAGGTATGTTCACGGTCTATTTTTTATACCATTGAAAAATTTAAAACAAGCATCAAGCAAGTTTTGTCGGCGTGATTAATATACATACCTCCACAAAATAACAGCTCTCTATTCTCAATAGTTTCCAAGCAAAACCTCGGACAGACCGACAGACATATTATTATCGAAACTATACTCAACATCAAATAAACCGCACCTTCCGCGACGCGAACTTTAAAGATTTTCTTCTGACACAATCACAGTGCCCCAACTATATTGGTGTTATTTGAAAGCCCAATAAATATCCTTAAAGAAAATAACATTTAATCTATACTTATAATAAATCTGTAGAGAAGTCAATTCTGTACATGAAAAATATTTTCAAAATAACTATCAGGGGGTGATTAGTAATCGATACTGATGCCAAAAATGCAATCTGTATAATTTTTGTCTGTTTCGGATTTTAACGAAACTTAGTACAATTATTTTTTATACTCCTGGGCAGGTTATAGTATACTTAGAAATTCCCACGGGAACGGGAATTAGCGGGAAAATCCTTTTGTATGAAAAATCTAAACCGCTTAAGTTAGACGCTTGAAATTTGGCATGCAGGTATCTTAGTAAACTTAATGCTTAGTTACAACAGGATATTGCAAAATTCCCACGGGAACGGGAGTTAGCGGGAAATAATATTTGTATGAAAAAATCTAAACCGCGTAAAATAGATGAAGGGGGTAAAACGAGATCCACGCGTACGAAGTCGGGCGGCCGCTAGTTTCTTAATAAATGTTTAACATATTTTATACCATAAATGTGACTTGAAAAAAGACCTCACTTTGGGCTCACCTCTGGGATCAATCTGGCCATTTTTTTATGGTTATAAAACCAAATAATGACCACACATGTCCTCTTTAACAGATGAATAGCGATAAATCCCAACTTAAGTTTTATAGCCATAAAAGTTGGCTCAAGCGTAACTAGCTATTTTTTTTTAAGTGACTCTGGATCCTTCTAAAGACACATTTTTGGGGTAAAACCCTTTCCTTTAGTGAAATGAAGTTTAGAACTAGGCTTTAACTTAAATGGTGCCAATATTGGTGGGAAGTGGGGATGCATACGTTTGAAAGTGCTTGTTGCGGGAGGTGCGGTTTATTTTATCGAGTGTATAAGGGTTCCTTGACAGGACTACGGAACCCTTAAAATGATGGTTGTTTTAAAATTTTCAGGAGACGGTGAACGTACCTTTTTTTTCCACTTTTTAGATGCACTAAGTCATTACCTAGTTTAAAATTATAAGGGCTTGAAATTTGAATTTGGCTATTTAACTAACAATTTATCACGAATCCTTTAACTGAGAACAGATGTTAAATCTCACTATAGATTGGGCGAGTTATACCCTAGTGATTTTACAGGTATTATCTGGCCCGGACCTTCGGACGAGATGAAGACTAGTATTTTAAAAAGTTATTAACTGGTCCGCGGACCAGATTTTCGGTGGGCCAGATAATACCTAACCCGGAAATTAGCGACAGAATCCCTCAACTCACCCTATGCGTAATGCCCTGCCCCGTCGTAGGGTTGTCAAACAGCTTGGCAGAGATCTTGGCGAGCGCGGCGCTGGGTGCCAGCGCAATCATCTCCTCCAGACACGTAGGCCGGATCTCCTTGGCCACGATGTCCGACGGCTTGTCCTGTTGGTTGCACGTGACTCGGTCCAGGAAGTGGGCTAGTTGAGCGTATGTGTATTGTGCACTGGAGGTATGGTCAGGAAATTATTTGATTTTGACTTGCAATATACTGTTTTGGCCCTATTTTGGAGTGTTTCCTTGCTTCTTGCATAAGTTCACCACCGGCAGGCCTATCTCTACATACAGTCCACTCCACACCTTTTTAACATATATTCGAATACAGAGATAGACGCGGTATTAACCAATATGCACAGTGTCAGACTTCAGTTCGTCGCTTGCCTCTCTGACGTAACTGTCATTTTGCAAAATTGATTATGACGGTGCAGATAACTCAGTTTCGAAAAAAATTTCAGATACGTCAGTTAGAGAGGCAAGCGACGAGTTGAGATTGTGTTTGCTATTTGGGGCCTAACCTGAGTGGGCTTACATACATAAAAGTAAATGTATAAAAAAATTAAGAAAATTACACAGTGGAGAACCACCCGGTCTTTCCTAGGATCCTCTGTTGTTGAGGGTTTCGGGTGCAATGAGGGCTATCGTTTTTATTCTTAACAGTTGGCACCCCTGGCGATTGACAGGACCTTACTCTACAGTGGCGCCATCTTGATAAGTGCAAATGCGATAGTCCTCCTACCACTTTAGCGCTCACCAGTTGGTGCCACTGTCTTCGCTACTAGCAAGTGACAGGACCTTACTCTACAGTGGCGCTAACTGGCGAGCGCTAAAACGGTAGCCCTCATTAGCTTCTGCTTGGCCTGATCATCAGTTTCCTTCAGATGAGAATGAGATGCAGGCAAAGCTTACGGGACTATTCCCACCTTTCGTTCACACCACTGCAACTCCTGTGTAGCCAGGATCTACAGCTTGACCGCCACAAAAACCCAACCAATGAAGGTCAAGTTTGTCCCGGGGGAAAGTTAAACTGTCATTGGACCAGCAACGAAATTAATCAGAAGAACATAGGAGGAGTTCGAAATTAAGGTTCGATTTCCCTCCATTGCAAAGCGGATGACAGGTGACAAACAAAGGTTTAAAACCTTTAAGAAAAGATTATGCACCACGGACAAAAAAATTAATTAAGGGGACCTATCTTATGAGCAATTGGCAACTACCTGCCAATAATATTTTTCACAAAATCGATTAAAAGCACGGAAATTTTTCCTTGTCGCGACAAGATCGGTGTAACAAATTGCGGAAACAGATGTATGTTCTATTGAATTAAGCATTATATCACGTTTATGTTTCCAAAGATCACACTCCCACAAGATATGATGAGCAGACTGCTCATGGCAAAGCTTCCCCGTTGTGGTTATAATAAGTAAAGGATACATATGAAGGTGCGCTAGCGTAGTATTATCCGCGTGGAATGCAGTGCGCGCGATGGCTGCATAGCGCTGTGCCACCGCGCTCACAGCACGCGCCGCCCTGCGCGTCGCGCTCGCGCACGCGCCCGCCTTGGCCGCTGGGTCGCGCGCCGCCTGGAGGGAAAACATTGTTTTTTTTTTTTTTTTTTTTTTATAAATATCCTTAGACATTTTACACTGCGCTTCTAGTCCCAAATTAAGCAGAGCTTGTACTATGGGTACTAGACAACGGATATAAACATACTTAAATACTTTTTTTTTTGTAAATACATACGTATTATACATAGAAAACACCCAGTCCAGTACAAACAAATATGTTCATGCACACAAATGTTTGTACTGTGCGGGAATCGAACCAGCTACCTCCGGAATAGTAGTCCGTTTCGAACCACTACACCAAACGGCCGACAAATGTTGGCTCTATTATGAGCACGTTTTGGATTTAGAGGTTTAGTCACTAATAAGGGAAATTTTCAAACCAAAGCGGAGATGACACAAAGGGTGACGAAAGATATGAGCAGTCAATAAAAAACCAAGTTATTCACTCTTCATCTCTGCCCAGTGGCAGTGAGACGGTTGGGAAGAGTTCCACTCCGCTTCAGTGCACATAACCTGCCCACTATGCTTCTCACCTTCGTACAACTTATCTCGTCTCCACTTTGCTAGAAAAGGGCTATAATACGCTAACGCGGCGCTCAGCGCGATGTCTTTAACTATGCACCGACGCTTGCTGCAACGACGCTTTAATACAATGCACCTCCAAAAATATCTTGACGGTTTGTGCCACAGTACACTACGTAAGTGCAGACTTGCCTTAAGTTAAGTGTTCTATAACTTTGTGTATGTAGAACAACTGTGGGTGTAAGCAAATAAAGTCTAACCTGCGCATGAGCATGTGCGATTGCCGGCGGCGGCTGCGTGCAAGCAGCTCTCGCGGCGACCGCAGCCCTTGCTAAGGCCGCTAGAGCCTGGGCCCTTGCCCCCATGGCCGCGGCGGGGAGAGGGGCGCAGCCTCCGCAGCCGGCACAAGCGGCCGCGCAGCCGGCGCCCCAGCCACCCAAATACTTGTAGATAACGCTGTGGATTCTAATCAAACTAACCTGTGCGTGAGCATGTGCTATGCGCAGCGACCGCAGCCAATGCCTGCGCACGCGTACCCATTGCGGCGCTCAGCCTAAATACTTGTTCGCAATAAAAATCTAGATCCTAAATAAGGAATCTAACCTGCGCGTGAGCATGAGCTATCGCCGGCGGCGGCTGCGTGCAAGCAGCTCTCGCGGCGACCGCAGCCCTTGCTAAGGCCGCTAGAGCCTGCGCCCTAGCTCCCATAGCGGCAGCGGGCAGAGGGGCGCAGCCGCCGCAGCCGACACAAGCGGCCGCGCAGCCGGCGCCCCAACCGCAGCCCGCTACTTTTGGTAACATAGAGCTGTGAATTTGAAACAGATGACTGCTCTAACCTGCGCATGAGCGTGTGCTATGGCAGGCGGTGGTTGCGTGCAAGCAGCTCTCGCAGCGACCGCAGCCCTTGCTAAGGCCGCTAGAGCCTGGGCCCTAGCCCCCATAGCGGCAGCGGGCAGAGGGGCGCAGCCTCCGCAGCCGGCACAAGCGGCCGCGCAGCCGGCGCCCCAGCCGCAGCCCGCGCCGCCCCAGCCGCTGCTGACCTCCCAGCCGGAGCTGGCAGCTTCGAGCCCGCTTATGCCTGCCACCGAAAATGTCTACTAGACAAACTGTTCGAAAGTCGAGGCGTCATAACGAAGTTGTGCTACAAGTCACAACCTCGTTATGACGCCAGTTTTCACCATCAATCCCTAATTTTTAACTGACCCCTGTGGTGACAACAGGATTTGTTTTCATAGGGGTCACTTAAAAATTTGGGATTGATGGTGAAAACGGGCATTAGTCTATTGGCGAAAAGAGCAGATCACACAAAATCGCACTATAACAACTCAAGAACATTGAAAAATTGATTATTTTATTTTACTCTCACGCGGGAAGAGCCTGGATGCGGGCAGCGAGGACCGTTCATTGTGGAATCTTGGGGGAGGGGAAGCCTTTGTCCAACAGTGGACGTCATTTGGCAGAAACGAACGAACAATAAAAGAACTCTCACGTAAAAAAAAATATTTTGGAAAACCAACCAATAAGGTTGGTGTCACTACCAATCAATTTACTTTTTATATCCTTTGTATGAATCTTTGTATGAAATTGACAGTGTAAGCAGATGATGTCAGTAGTACAACTAAACAAAAGAATCCAATTGAGTGACAACTATTTAACAGAACACAAGTTACCTTCTTTCAGCAGTAAAGCGTCGGCGGAGGCAGCTCTGTGCAGCGCCGTGAGCCAGCGCTGCGCCGACTCACTCGGCGCCTCTTCTGCGAGCCTCTTTAAAATATCCGCTGCTAGGTTCTGGTGGCCGTATCTGTCAACAATCACGTTGTGGTATTTGGTACGTACTTGGGTAATCCGATTATCCATCGCAATGCAAACATTTATGTGCACACTGGAGTGATTCTAACTCTCAATCATAACAACTTTTTGTATGGGATCAATATCGGAATCTTCCTTTCAAACACATCCAAAGAAGTGCGAATAGAATGTGAGGATCTGTGGCGACGCCACTACAAACTAGTGACCGACAGATGGCGCTGTTACTACTTCACTATGGCACACTCCGCCGCTCATACAAACCTGCATCGCGGTGACGGAGTTTTATATCCTGCCAAGTATATATAGGCAAACCAAGATGGTGTAAATTGGACCTTGGTCCCCGAGCATAACACCCGCTCGGAAGGAAGCACTAACATCTAAAGCCTGGTCCGTGAGCACGTAGAATTTTGTCCAATGACCCCAAGATACCCATCCTTATCGTTCGCGCGTAATTATATTGCTGTCGCGACTGTGCGACGGGCGCCCGCAGTGAGTGTGCGAGCGCGACAGCGACATAATTACGCGCGAGCGATAAGGATGGGTAGCTAGGGGTCATTGGACAAAATTATACGTGCTCACGGACCAGGCTTTAGCTTCCTTATTGTGGTTGAGCATCATATCCCCCAGATCTATTAAATCTCACTTCAAAGCAGCCCTAGCCACCCTGTATCTGGTCCAGCCATCAACTCCTCGGATGGCGTCCAGTATCTTCTGCTCCCACGAAGAGTTGATATTGTAAGTCAGAGCTGTGCCTGCCTGCTCTTGGAATAGAATTTATACAGCACCAGGCTTGTTCTATAGGGCTATACAAGAGACAGAAGAGAAACACACCTTAATGCAGCCCTAGCCACCCTGTATCTAGTCCAGCCATCTACTCCTCGGATGGTGTCAAGTATTTTCTGCTCCCATGAAGAATTGATCTTGTACGTCAGGGCTGTACCGGCTCGCTCTTGGAAAAGCACTGTACAGAGCAGAACTAGTGCTGTGCCGTCGTTGGAACTGTCCGTTGGTGCTTCGCTGAAGAAGAGCAAGTGTAGTTTTACATATTGAAGTATACTTCAGTTGAAAACAACGGATACTTTGGACCTTAGACCTTCCGCATCTTAAAGGTATTAGACTGAGAGCTGGTGAACGCCAGACCTACGTCATTTTATAAAAGCTGAAAGTTTGTCAGCGTCTGCTCCCAATATAGGATAGAATGTTGGTGAATCATGAAGTTTGGGTCACCGTGGCTTTGGCAGCTATCCTCAAAAAGTCTGGCAAGGAGTTGGAAGTGTCTGACTGATGTGGAAACAACTTCTAATCATTGCCCAAACATTATACATAAAAATCAGATTTTACAGTATAACGTAAGCCTAACTTTTACGGTGGCTTTTTTGGGCCATATTGGCTATAACATTGATGGTGTGACAGGAATATGGTCCCGCTTAACTTTGAATCATATTACATCGTCCTAAGGTCCAAAAGCATTAAAAAACTTTTTATAGTAAACAAAGGGTCAAAGCATCAGCTTTTGATCTCGCAACTCACCCTTTCTGCGCTGCATCAAGCGTTTGCAGCAACGCGGGCATGGCTGGAGCGATCGAATGCGGACAGTACGTAGACCCGCCCAGCGCTCCCAGCGCTTCAAGCAGCGCTAATATGCGCGGTCCGCCTTGCTTCCAGTCGCACTCTTGTAGCTGTATGCCTAGTACTGTGGCCGTGCGAGCCGCGTAGATCGTTGGCTCGGCGATGGAGAGTTTTACCTGCAGAAGAAAAAGTGTTTATTTTCATGGGGTATATCTAATGACATCTCTCAGCTAAGCTCCCTAGCTTTTAAAAGTGTCTTAAAGCGGGGGACTGTCCCTAAAAATCTGACTTCCCCCCTCTTCCCTGGGCCAGAAGCTAAATACTTCCTACAAAAGGTGGTATTGAGTTACCTAGTCAGTGCATAAAATATTTATTATTATGTGACTGGGTTTTTTCCCGCCGCTTTTCAGTATCAAACATATTATTCCTAAGCTAGGGATAACATATCATGCCATATTATAAGACATTCTTTATTGAAAATGAAAATGATATTTATTTAGTCCAAAAATATTACAGTACATGATCTGGTTACTGTTACATTCAGAATAAAAACGGATTACAATTTATACAACAGCATCACGTAAGTATGTACTAACAGCATCACTGGACTCCACACTAGGATTCCCTGTGTCGTGGAGACCAGTCTTCCCATTGAAATTTCGAGATAAAGTGCGTTGGGATTAGGGATATTTGGGATGAATTTAGGCGTATCCAACTTAAATGAGCCAGCTACTCGTAGCTAGCAAATTGTTGTAATGTTTTCTGAACAACATAAATATGCCACCAAATTGTTGATGGCAAAGTTAAGAAGGGTGTCATATGTGCAAGGTACTTATATTGTATTTTACCATGTGACAAGCAAATAAATAAACGTATTTTGTAATATTTCAAATTCTTACCAGACAGCGAAGAGCAATCCGCAGCGGCTTGATGTTGGTCGGGTCGTTGTCGACGCCTGTCGCTATCACCAGCGACTCCAGTGCCAGCATCAGCTCAGAACCATCTACTGGTAATGATTCTTCATAGCTGTAACCAATGCCATTTGGAATACAGGGTGGAATTTTGTAATGCCACCTGGAGGGAAAGTACTCTTAATATTGTAGATAGAAAAATGTTCTCAAAGAAAACATTCCTTTATTTTTTAAAAGAAATAGAACTGCATTCAAAGATTTCCAAAAATTTGCTTGCCACACCCGGGAATCGAACCAACTAAAATCTGTTAAAAATTACACCCTGTATTTTTATTACATCGATAGTTAGGGTTAAGTATAAGAATGAAATCTCTCTAACATACTTGATAAATCAAATGAAAGAAAAACCATGAAATCTTAAATTATTTTTATTATGTTACAGAAAAATTTATGGTATGGTAGTGTTTTTCGAAAAATTTTCGAAAATCTTTGAATGCAGTTCTCTTTCTTTTCAAAAATAAAGGAATGTTTTCTTTGAGAACATTTTTCTATCTACAATATTAAGAGTACATTCCCTCCAGGTGGCATTATGAAATTCCACCCTGTATATTAGTTTGGGAGGAGAATAGTTGAAGATTGGACTCGATGGAGCATTGAGCAATATTCGATGTCATTTAATAAGCGGTTGGAATTAAACGGGGTAAATTAACACAGTTATTTTTAAAGTGTCGCTGAAACGATGCAATGGACAGCTCGAAAGAGTGGAATCTCTAAGAGTAGGCGCACACCGTTGATTTTTCGTCGGCCGATAGTTTAGTCGGGCAGTTGATCAGTACGGGCATGTATGGGAGTGCGCACACTACGCCGATTCGATTTGGCCGATTCTTCATACAATTTAAAATCGGGCACAACTACCAGCCAACTAAAAATCAACGGTGTGCGCCTACTCTTAACTGTCTCACAGAAAGTGCAGGCAGCTGTGGAGTGTCGTATAGTCAGCGTCAAATAGTTCGTGACACATAAGGTTGTGTTGCCAACTTTTTGGCCACTTGCAAAATGGGACCAAATGCGATTGGGATCATTTTTCAATTTGTGACAAAATGCGAATGAGACGGTCTATGATGCGCAAACGTCCTGACAAGTACCAGTGGAGCACGATGCGCGTGAGCACGCCGCACGCGGTGGCGGCCTGCGGCAGGTGCGCGCTGAGCTTGGCTTTTAAATAATGATTGACACCCGGAATAACAGTCCTAGATCATTGACCAAAATCCAGTTCTCCAGGACTTCGAAATCCTGTTGAAAATCCTGGATAGCCAACCGACTCTGTTGTGGGACTGTCTGCGACAACCTGCACCTTGACTTCGCGCAAGTGTCCTGATTAGTGTTGAAAATGACCAAAGCGGCTGAATTTGACTGACCATCATTTACGGTCAAATTGGTTAAAAATGGTCAAAACAAGTCATAAACTGTCAAAAACGGTCAATTTGATTACAGTAATAGTTTAGTACTTTCTTAAGTTTTTTCTTAGATTTTGTGATTGATAAAAGTCTACAACATCTCAATTGAAATAAAAAAGTGGCTTGTAATGAATTATTACAGTGAGTCTACAACTTCTAAATTGAAACAATAAGTGTTTTGTAATGATTTATTGTATTTGTTTGCTGTCGATTAATCGTTTGAGTATGAATCGACAGCAAACAAATACAATATGGGCAGGAGGCTTTTGCCCATATAGGGGTGCCACAAGAGCGAAGACAAATGCTTCTAACTTAAATATTTAAAATTGTAAACTTGTGGAAATAAAAGCTTTTTTATTTATTTTATTTTAATGATTTATTGTGCTCTCTTTCTTTCCCTACGCAATTGCCTTGCACCGCGCTCACGTGCATTATAGTTGAATGGCAATGTCGCATCGCGGCGCACGTCAACTATGATGACGTCTTATTCTCTCTTAATTTATTACAAAATAACGTTCCTTCATTTAAAATTGCATATAAATTGGGTACCTAAATTAATAAATTATTCGGTAATTTGACCGGTCATTTATGGTATTTGGTCATCGTGACCGGTCAGATGTCAATTTACATCTCTAGTCCTGATACAGTACCAGTGGAGCACGATGCGCGTGAGCACGCCGCACGCGGTGGCGGCCTGTGGTAAGTGCGCGCTGAGCGCTGCGTCGGCGCAGTACTGACGCAGTGCGCTCGCTTGCTGCCCTGCTGCCGCGCAGATCGCTGGGCATTCCACCAGGATCTGATAAGAAGGTTAATAAAATAAGTATGAAAAGGACAGTTCACTAGGATTTGACCGCATGAGTGACGCTGATCGCTCGGCGCCGACGCTTCATACAATAGGCTAGATGACAAAATTACAATTATTTGTCCGTCAGACAGATAATTAGAAAATATTACTCTTTTTTTTATTTTCTTTCATAATTTAATAATAACAGTGCTACATCGAGTTGAAATGGCGCGATACGTCACGCTTGAGTAGAATTTTTACACAAAAATGACGTCACGCGACATTTCAACTCAATACATATAATACTGTAGTTATTCGATTATGAAAAAAATTAAAAAACATGTGTTCAAAATTGTTTTGATTATCTGTCTGACGGACTAAATAGAATTTCGATTTCATTACCCAGTCATCATCCCTATTCAGCTGTCAGCGTTGACGGTCAGCTTACGTTAGCGTGTCTTTGTTTTAGGTATTTTGCTTAGCATACCTTTGAATTTAAATTTCTCAATTATACATTGTGTAAAAGCTGCGCACGTGATATTGGCGGAACAGTGTGCCTTGTGGCGAAAATACACAAGTTCATCGCCATTAATAAAAGAAGAAGAAGAAGAAGACTCTAAAACCAGCCTTATAAATCGTTTCATCCACGAAGACACGACCCACCAATTTTTGGTCGAGGCAAGCGCGTGGTGCGAGGAGTTTGATCCGAGCAATCCGAGCGTCATTACTGTAGTGTGCGTGTGCACTCATGGATGATTTAGCGTGCACCGATAACACTCAAACATTAGCTGAAGAATGGTGGGGTGCGTCTTCGTGGATGAAACAATCTATACAAAAGCATGACAAGTAAAAATGTGTGAATCATACCCTTTCGTATCATAAAGGGTAAAGCTGTTATGTACCCAGTATCAACCAAGGATGTGATATTTCAAATTAAAAAATGTTTATTGTGATAAACAAAATGGTTATTTTTTATTTTGGGTTTTGATCCAGTGAATCAAAATAAATAAATCACATCCACAAAATAAGGGATAACATTATTGTCTTGTCAGATCTAGATGACGTTTATTACTTGTAACACGAGTAGTTATACTGAAATACTGAAATCCTAAACAGTATGAAGATGTCTATCACTAAATTTAGCGTTGTAATTCAGCAATAGGTTGTTGTTGGAATCTCATAGTAGAAATACAAAGAAATGAGCTTAATAAGAATCTGTTCACTACTAACCTCCATAACCTGCAAGCAGAGCATGGTATGCTCCTGATCCTGGCTATCCGTAGCTGCCCGCACGAGGTCCTGGATGCACTGGAGCGGCCACAGCGCGGCGTGCTCGGCCAGCTTCTTCAGCCCTACCAGCGCGGCGCGGCGGACGGCGGAGCGCGCGTCGTTCATGGCCAAGCTTAGAAGGAGTTCCACCTGGGAGCATATTTTTTTGTCATCTCATAAGCTGTAGGATCTTTAGGTTCATATATAGTCTGGTCCGTGAGCACGTAGAATTTTGTCCAATGACCCCAAGCTACCCATCCTTATCGTTCGCGCGTAATTATGTTGCTATCGCGCTCGCACACTCACTGCCGGTGCCAGTCGCACAGTCGCGACAGCAATATAATTACGCGCGAGCGATAAGGGTGGGTAGCTAGGGGTCATTGGACAAAATTCTACGTGCTCACGGACCGGGCTTTAGTAAATAGAACACATTTTGTGAACAGTATTCTGGACAATAATAGAAGTATAGATGACCCATGCTGAAATGTCCCACCAAACTCAATGACAGGGGGGCGCTACCATCGTTCAACTGTATGGTTTCCAACATGACAAAAATCCGAAGCAGCGATCCGGTATTGACGGTGGCGCCCCACTGTCAATGTCATGGCCGTTAGGACAGTTCAGTATTTTGGAACTATATCCTTGTTAAGACTTATTATGACATTCACAGCAGCTGTCCATGTAAGTTAGGTCTAAACATGCCAGTAAAAAAAGAATGATGGTATTTCTGGCTTAGATTTATTGTTAGTTAGCATGGGAGCCTTCAGAGTGGAATGAGGAATATAAAGCAGATATGAACATTAAAAGATACAACATCAACTCAGGTCAAAGCATAACTGATTTATTATTTGTATACCCACAATTAGATACAATATTAGAAACTGTCAATGTCAACCAAATACACAATATACCTTTCCACCATAATCAAAAGACAAAACAAAACTAAAGAATTCACATAATTAAAAATAATAATGAGTTAATCAGTAATTGGGATGCCAATAATGTCTGGCCACTGTTCAGGTGGTGGAAGGACAATAGGAGGGTCGGAAGATGTTGATGTAGAACTCGACGCCTGTGTTTGTCTCACAGAAGCAGGTCTTGGTTCCGTTGCAACTGCTCGTCCAACCAACTGATCCACATGACGACGATGTAGCTCACCATCTTCCGTCCTCACTAAATACGCGCTGGGCCCTTCTACCATCTCGATCACTGCTCTCTGCCATTTCTCGCCTGGCCCATACATACGAGCCAATACTGGCTGATCAACAACAAAAGTCCGAGATGGTGTGCGCTGTGCCGCCGCCTCCAGCTGCTCGTCGGCATTAGTTGGGGTTGTGTCCGGGTGCAGGGACGACACGGCTGTTCTATACCGGCGTCCGTTTAACATTTCTGCAGGTGTCTTATTGGTGCAACTGTTCGGTACAGTTCTCATTGCATACAAGACTTTTGGCAATTTTTCTGACCAAGGTCTGCTCTCCTCGGCCATTTTCCTAAGTTTGTTTTTAAATGTCTGAATGGCCCTCTCAATTTGGCCATTTGATGCGGGATGATAAGGTGGGGAATACAAGTGCTTAATCCCATTATTCCTCAGGAATGTATTAAATTCTCGAGAAGTGAAATTCCTGCCATTATCTGAGACCAAGACATCCGGTAAGCCCTGAGAAGCAAATATTTTCCGCAAACTTGCAATCACTGCCTCACTGGCCATTGAAGGCATAATCTCAGCCTCAAACCACTTGCTGTAACTATCGATCAAAACTAGAAATGTTTTGCCTTGGAATGGCCCAGCGAAATCAACATGAACGCGGCTCCAAGGCTTTTCGGGAATAATCCAAGTTTGCGGGTCTCGCGGTGGGTTGTTCCTCACCATCTGGCACTGCTCACATTCCGCCACTTGCCGTTCAATCTGCTGATCCATTGCCGGCCACCAGACGTATCCTCTTGCATACGCCTTAGTCTGAACTATGCCTGCGTGTGGGGCGTGCAATATTTTCAGTACGTCACTCTGGAGTGACGTAGGCACGATCACTCTGTTGCACCACAGTAAACACCCTTTACTGTGTGAAAGAGCCTCCCTTCTCGTCCAAAATGGCTGCAACTCAGGATCTATGTTAGAACGCGGCCAACCGTGGAGAACGTGGAATAACACCTTCTGTAAGAGCGTATCTCTTTTCGTTTCTCTTGAGATCGTGCACGCATCAAGATTCCATCCTTCTGGTTGGTCTTCGAGCNGTCTCTGGGCTCGGCTCAAACTCTCTCCACTTAAAATGTAGCACCGAACCATTTCATAATACTCGCGGTGCGAATTTTATTTATTTATTTATTTATTTTAGGAATTACAAACAAATGTGTTACAAAAATTAACTTATCTACTAGACTTATGTATTATTTATGTGGTAACACATCCCACTACGTAATCCACATATTGATAATGAAACCATGTAATATAGAGCGAGGCAATTACAATTGGACCCATTTATGCAAACAGGAACCAACCCACAGTTTGAGTGAAATTGAGTTAAGTACATAGATGGCGCTCAAATAACGCATTCTATCTTCAAAAAAAATATGGTACCTTTTTAACGACTAACAACAGATATACAGCACTGTCACTTGCGGAACCAACCCGCTTTGGCCAACTTTTAAAAACTATAAAAAACTATGCAGCATGGTCCCTAAGCACTTATTTAAACTAATTATGCAAACCAGAACCAATGTTGGTTGGTTCCATTTAGCAAAAATTGTTACAAATTTTTTATAACTAAACAGAACCAAAGATTGTTTTCTTTGTGGAAATCAGGTTAGTCTTGAAGGAACCATGTAGCATAGTTCTTGATAGTGTTAAAATTAAGCTTTATTTAAAAATAAAAAACCCGTTCCTATCGTTGCGTTTGTACCTTTATCATAAAAAATGTCTTAATAATAACAAAAGGGTTATGCCCACTTAGTATGGGACCTTTGGCCTGTGGACAGACATTACAGCATGTAATTTGTTATTTATTAAATAGTCTATACCAGTAAGAAACAGAATATAAATATCATTTTGTATCCAAGTCCTTAAAAAAATTTTTTTTTGCTTAAGACTAGAAAGGTTAGAAGCAAAATAAAACACCATTTTTTTATTATTATTTTAATCTGACTCATGGGTCAACAAAATATTGTCTAGGAACTAGGCAGGTGGAAATACATGTTCCTGATACCTTATAAATAAATAAATAAAAAGCTTTTATTTCCACAAGTTTACAATTTTAAATATTAAGTTAGAAGCATTTGTCTTCGCTCTTGTGGCACCCCTGTATGGGCAAAAGCCTCCTCCATTCCACTCCATTTCTTCCTGTCCTGGGCTAGGTCGAGCCAATTTTCTCCCGCTACTCTCATTATATCATCCTGTTCCTGATACCTTGCCCAGCTCAAAAACCACAAAATTGTCATAACATGAGCACAGCCTGCAACCTACTTAGTCGGCCGTTTGGTGTAGTGGTTCAGAACGGACTACTATGCCGAGAGGTCCCCGGTTCGATTCCCGGCCGGGCAGAAATTGAAATGATGAATTTTAATTTCTGTGACGGGTCTGGGTGTAAATATGTATAATATGTATGTATTTAATAAAAAAAAAAAGTATANCGAGTAATAATACTTCCCTAACGGTCTTTTCAATGTCCACCGCAGTCGCATCAGCTGTCCATCGACTTAAGGCGTCTGCATTACCCAAAGATTTCCCAGGTCTATACTGAATGTCATACTCGTAAGCACTCAATTTTAATGCCCAACGTAACATTCGCGGCGAAATCTGATCCGGTATTAGTTTCTTTGGGTTAAACAATCCCAACAACGGCTTATGGTCGGTAATAATACAAAATTTGCGACCTGCCAAAAACTCGTGAAATTTAGTCAATCCAAAAACTATAGCTAGGGCCTCTTTGTCTATTTGCCCATATCTTCTTTCATGCGGCTGCAGCGTCCTAGAAGCCATCATGATAGGTCTCTCCGTACCGTCATCCATCACATGAGCAATAATAGCCCCTACGCCATAGCTGGAAGAGTCACAAATAAGTAATAATTCCCTGTCAAGTTCATAATTAACCAGAGTCAAACCAGAAGACAACAGTTCTTTTGCTCGCTCGAATGCTGTATTCTCGGCTTCACCCCAAGACCAGGGTCTTTTTGCCTCCAATAGTCGATACGACGGTTCCAGTATTGTTGATTTGCCCGGGATAAACTTCTCATAAAAGTTATACAAGCCTAAGAACGCTCTCAAAGACTCTTTATTAGTTGGGACAGGCTTTTCTTTAATTTCCTTGACTTTCAAGGGCGATGGGTGCAGGCCTTCAGCATCAATCATATGGCCTAAAAAGTGGATCGAGTTTGTAGCAAATACACACTTTTTCGGATTCAAATGAAACCCTAAGTCGTTTAGTTTTTTAAGAACTGCAACCAAACGCTCATTGTGCTCAGTCAGGGTTCTCCCCGCTACGGCCACGTCATCAAGCAGGCAGGCCACTCCCTCGAGGCCTGATAGTGCATTGGCCATTACTCTCTGAAATATACCGGGCGCTGCATTCACTCCGAACGCTAATCTGTTCATTTTCATCAATCCCAGTGGTGTGTTGAGTGTTAAAAGCTTCGCCGTGTCCTCATCAACTTTCAGCTGCAGGTATGCTAGTTTTAAATCCAATTTACTGAAAACTCGCCCGCCACTGAGCTTCACAAAAGATTCAACCGCTGCTGGGAGTGGGTATGTATCGACCTCAATTGCAGGGTTGACCGTAGACCTATAATCTCCGCAAATCCGCAGAGACCCATCGTCTTTCTTCACCAACCTCAACGGTGTTGCCCAGTCTGAATGTCTGACAGGAGTGAGAACACCGGCATCAATCATGCGCCTCAATTCTTCTTCAACTTGATGCTTCAAGGGAAAGGGCACCGGCCGCGCTTTCAAATAACGAGGATTAGCGTCCGCTCGAACATGCAACGATATTGCGGGACCCTTATATTCACCGAGAGTCTCTTTAAATAAATCTGGGAACTGACTGACTAAATTATCTACCTCACCGTCAGACCAACAAATTCCCGAGATTTCTAAGCCCAAGGCTTCAAACCAGTTTCGACCTAATAGACAGGGGCCTTTGCCAGACACCACCAAGAGTTCACACTGAGCTTCTTTATTGCCCAGTCTTGCACGAACGTGTGTGGCCCCCAACACCTTCAACGGGTCACGGGTCCACGTCACGAGCTTCACATCCGTCGACTTCAGAGGGGGAGGCGTGTACCAAAGCTTCTTATACGTTTCTTCAGGCATGATGGTTCGAGAGGCACCGGAGTCTATCTCCATGTTAATAGATGCGCCATCAATCAAGAGATCGGCTGTAATCGGCGGCCGATAACTCTCCGTGCACTTGTATATACCCATCATCTGCTCTGAACCAACATTCACATCGTCCTTGGCTCCTTCTGCACAATCACATCCCACCTGGTGCACCTTTGCATTTTTCTTTAAACAAGCAGCCGCAATGTGTCCATATTTCTTGCAATAGAAACACCTAGCCTTCATAAAAGGGCATTGCTCATTCACTTTATGACGCCGGGCACAGTGTCGACAGTCGTCAGACTGAATTTTACCAATATCCATTGGCTCGCTAGACGTGGATGGAGTTAGCTTTGAGTTGATGACAGGTTCAGGATACATATCGTGAAACGTCGCCTGATAGTTGAGGCACTGTTGCACCGCGGACTCGTACGTGAGGTCCTTGGCCTTCAATAGTTCGCGGCGCAGGCGCTCGTCGCGCACCCCCAACACAAGTCTATCCCGTAACTGACGTTTCAAATCCACAAAATTACACTGGGCGCCTAATAAACTGATAGCCGCCACAAACTCTTGCACGCTTTCGTCTTTGGATTGTACGCATTTATGAAATTTCCCGGCTTGCAATATTTCATTCACTTCAGGCTCATAAAATTTGTCCAAAACCTCCAAAATGTTTTTAAAAGGCACACTCGTCGGACGAATAGGCACTAATAACGACGCAATAAGTGAATAAGTCTCTTTGCCGCACTGAGACAAAAACACAGAACGAGCTTTGTCAAGGTCATTGTTACCAATCCCTGCCACATCAAGGGCACACAGCAAACGGTCCTTATATTCACTCCACTTATCAGTCTTGGGGTTAAATGGTCCAGGAAACATCACATGAGCCATATTGGCTGCCATATTTCACTACAATCACTTAATTTTACTCAGTCGCCATTAAAAGATACAACATCAACTCAAGTCAAAGCATAACTGATTTATTATTTGTATACCCACAATTAGATACAATATTAGAAACTGTCAATGTCAACCAAATACACAATAGAAAGGGTTTTCAATNTAATATTAATATCAAATTAAAAAAAAAAACGGTGGAAAACATGCGAGAAAAAATAGAAGCAGTTTAAAGGTCAAATTTTGGATAAATTTAAATAAAAACAAAAATATAAATTAAAAAAAAGTAGCTTACTTAGGGTCAAAATGAGCGAACTTGTATTCTTAAAATAATCTTACCTATACACCCATGAAGTTTGTCTAACCTTCCGTCAAACACCCTGAATATCATGATACCTACCATTATCCTTTGTTTCACTAGTTTCTGGAATGAACTCGTATTTGATTTTTTTAATATCACTCAGTAATTCATCATCAGACTGAGAACACTCTGCCTCTACTTCTATTTCAGGTTCTGACTTGATCTCAGTTTCACTCCATACAGGAGATTCATGGTTATTACTGTAGGACAAGAATACTTCATGGCTTTTAAAGTCATTTTCCAGAGTATTATTTTTTAGAGCAAAATGTTTAAAATTGAAGAAAGAAATTATTTTCTCATAACATTGTGAACATAACTCATTACAAGTTGTTAAACTGTCGTCAACCTGCAAATTAAGTTATTATTATTTTGGAAACAAATATGAGAAAAATTAAAATACAAAATAAATTTATGCACCTGAATTAGTGTTGCCGATCGATAGTCGACTATCGATTATTAATCGATAGTCTATCGATAGCCAAACTATCGCACGACTATTGATTGGCCGAAAACGAGGCAATACTATTGAATATGTGCAATACTATCGATACTATCGATAGTATTGTTGCTCATGAAGAATAAACTATTGATAGTATCGATATCGGCCAATCGATAGATAAGGCTTTTTCAGATGAAATATAGATAGTTCGTCAACACTAACCTGAATACTCAGACAAAATAACACAATTTCGGCACCAGTCTCGTTACTTTCCTCGGATTTTAAATCACAAATTTTTTTGCTAGGCTCATTACACTGGCATATCCGACAAGCTCGACTTGTGTTATTACACTGCAAGTGATCCACATCTGGACCTCTGGGTTGTGGTATCATATTTTGAAGAAGTGGTGGGGGCAAAAGTATTGATGAGTCTGTAACATCAATTTCTTCTTCCTCACTAAAGCTAATATGTGGACTTGTAGAGTCTTGCTGAATTTGCCTTTGGACATTATGTTTAGCAACACGCCAACATGCATAGCAAACTTTAGTTAGAAGTGGAGCCTGAAAAATACAATTGTTAAGATATTTATTTCAAAATTATTAATTTTAGCCAATATTAAGACCTAATAATAAAATATAATTATTTACCTATGTTAAAATTCTTAAAATCATAACATAAGTACAATTTAAGGCGTAAATTTAAAAAATGTGAGAGTTATTGTAGTTTGATGAAAGCAAAAAACAAATACAGAAATAAAAAAAATGCGTACCAGATGAGGAAACATCAATGCTATAATAATATCCCTTTCTGGGCCTTCTGGGGGCACTGGATGAGTACGAGCCTGGCGAAGAGTAGAAATACCACAAACATAGCACACATTTTTATGACCATACTGAGGTTCATGTGCAGATTCATCATTAGGTACTTGCTGTAGTAATGTATGGCATTCCCAGCACAGTTTATGTTCAAGAGAAACCTGCAAATAAATAATTTTATTAACACACCATAGGCACTCATAGAATATTTAAGATGTTAATGATAACAGATTTTTAGCTATTGTACTAAATTCATTTAGAAAATAACAGTAATTAACAAAAATATTCTTTGACATTATTTAAGCATATTATGTAATAAAGAACAATGGGACATTTTGATGACCTTCGTCCCCAGAACTGTAGCTTTTTAATACCTACCTTATATGATAGTACATGCTATTATGGTAGGTATTAAAGTGCTACAGTTCTGAGGATGTTTTGTCCCATTGTTCTCTATGACAATAACATCTACAAAACATGTTTTATTTCAAAAGATATTAGTTTCAGAGACAGATATTGTTTATACTGTATTTTGTCTTTTGCTTCACTGAATGCTGCAATGCAAAATTGGAAATGATACATTATACAAAATGTATTATTAATTTGTTAAGTAGCGTAATACTTACTCCCAGGAACCTCAATAAAATTCTGTTTTATTTTTATTGCTTGACAGAATAAAGATTATTTGCTCTGTCCTATTATTGGGCTCTGTAGTGCCATTATGTGCTATGTTTATATAATAATTTGGTTATGTTCGTCTGTTTTGATATTCATATAAAACCATAAAATATACGTACCGGCGTTGGTGATATCCAGCTACGAAGTACATTTAATATTGGTTGAGTTGCATCTTGTAACGTGCACCAGCGATAGTTCGGTGGTAGGAGTCGTATAGAACAATTGATGCAACGGGCAGTAGCACAAATAGCACGACTACAGACACTACGGTTCATGTTGAGTTGGATAATGTTCACAAACACACCGAAAGTCTTGTCTCGAATACTTGGTTTCTATAGTTGTACGAAGGAACTCGAAGAAACGTTAATATCACTGAAGCATACGACAAAATGAACTTTTATGATAAAAAGAACGAAAGCGAATGGCAAAAAAGAAGCAAATATCTACTCAAATTTGATAGTTAGGTAATACTTCAATGTGAAAGCAATATAAATTAATCTCTAATCCAAAATTTATTGTTTTTTTTTTCTATGATGACAATTTGACATTGACATTCTTCTTCTTTTTTGATGTTGGCAATACACGTCGAAGCCAGAAGCACTCGGCAGACTTGATTTGTGCCATTTTCAAGTGAGACGAGTTACAAAATGGGACGAAGTGGGATGGGACTTGGGTTAATTAAATGAAGGATAAGACTCGATCAATTACCCGGATAGCTAGTAAACTTTAACCAACAGAGAAAAGTAATAAATAAGTTAACCGTAACCTGCTGTAAGTGTAACTGTGCCATTACTTTCGCCTTCCCCCACCATACTTTCGAGAAACCGTTTATTATGTTTCTGAAACATCGGCAAGTGCTCCGTAGTCTGAACACGAATGCATGAATAAGATTACTAAAAGTGGTTTGGTAATATTAACCTTAAATAATGTTGAATTGATTTCCTGTAAATGCCAAATTAATAATACTATGTTGATAACTTGCCGAGAACCATCGCCTTAGATTAAAAGACCATCGCATAGTGTAGGTATCTGCCGATGTGCATTCGTATTTCGGCATACATGGCACTTTTCACTATTTTGGGGCAATAATGCTCTTCACCCTCTACACCATAAATCAAACAACGATTTCATAATATTAGCTTTTATTTTTGTGTAAGAATGTTGGATACAAATCGTAAGTCTCGTATCAAATATTTAAAAATGCCATAATAATAGATATAGAGAAAATTGTACAATAGTAAAAATCGAAAGCCGAGTGGACGTCAAACGGATACCCACGTCACAGTAGCGCTATATGCCCGTGGTCGGGCCAGCTGTCTCTCTCACACGGCACTAGGCACATTCAACTTAAAGCTAAAGTAAAAATAAAAAAGCCTAAAACAACTTCAATCCCATATACTTATCACGAGTTGTGATGTTCATACGTAGTCGTTGCGACCACAGGCAATCGTTGTAATAGCTGCCTTTGCATAATTAATAACTAATAAAATCTCCACAGAATAATCCAGTTGTAAAATTTCTTACTTGAAGTTGTTAAAGCAAAGTTTATACAATTCAATAAATTCATTAATGTTAGGCTTAAAATTGTATCAAATTCACAAACAAAACAGCTAGACAGTAAAATAAAAGACTAAAATCTCTATTAAAAAGCTAAGAAAATATTGCATAGAACTTTCCATTCGCTCTTCATTATAATTTATTAAAATTAATATTTACGGAATATACATTTAACAGAAAAGAAACACCGTAAGATGCGAACATTTTCCATATAGTTATAAAAATTGGTTTCAAAACCGGTGTCCATCGCTCCGAGGGGTATTAAACGCTATTTATAATAAAATATACTCTAGTCATAACTAATTGTCAAAAATGTTCTATTCTATTCAATTACCTAAATACAATTTTCTTCATTATAAAAAAGAAATAAATAGGCACATCACATTCACTCTGAATGTTAGAAAGTGTAACTTAACAAGCTAATTGGTACATTAACTTCACATTGTTCACTTAATTATAAATACTTTTAACACAATCCACAATTATATTGCAGTATTGTAGTACAACAAATGTTGTTATGGCTTTCACTTTTGTACTCAAATAAACATCAACGTTTATCGTTAAACTTAATTTTGTTTCGTTAAGTACGCCTTTAGTATCCTGCTCCTGTAGCGAGTCATGTTTGGACAAGTACACAACCTTACTCAAATAAAAAATACACCCAGAAAGTTGTTCGACAAAACATGCACACTAATTGACAGAGAGATAGCTAATCTTTATAAAAATGCAATAATTTTACTTACAAACAAGAGCAATAATTATTATTGATAAAATATACATTTATAATAACTTATATTATTAGTTTCGGATAAAATATTAATGAAAACCTCGACGATATCGAAGCAACAGCACTAAACAACATCAATACGGATATTAACTTTCTCATTTTCAAGTATGTATTATTTTTTAAATGGCAGTACCCTTAGCTGTCAATGAAAAGACAAATTAAAATACTATTAATACCTTTAACATCTTATCGATACGTGTGATTGCAGTTGTATTTTTTATGCGTTCCGGTACATCGATGTATGGTATCGGTGGTGCGAGATCGATTACCGGTTATGACGTGTAGTCGTGACTGGTTTTACGTTGGCAGATTAACAAAACGACCGAAATTACTTTTTAACTTTTGCTTAAATGAAATAAATTGACAAATAATTGCTTGATTTGACAGCATTATCCTTTTTTAATTCAAAGAAAAGAAGCTGAAATTATAATGACATGAACATTCTATAAACCGTGTCCAATTTATTACTTCACAGCGCTGCAATGATTATAATACAAAATAGTCGCTTTAGCCACGGTCTTTAGCGCCAACTAGTCAATGTAAAGCCAGCGTTGGACCGGCGGATATGGTGTGTTCAGAGACGTTTGAGGCGAATTAACACAGAGGCAGTAGCTGGAGTCAGAACCTGGCATAAAACACTATTGCTAGAACCTGTAGTCAGCTATTTATTATTTTCGACTCAAAGTCACAGATAACAGTAAAATTATGGATAATTTCTAGAGTTTAAGAGGCTGCACAAACGTACTCTGTCTAGTGTGTGTTTACGAATGTTTACGTTTGCACAGCCCCTGAACGCCCCAAGTGTTATGGGAGCTACATCTATACCAGGAGGGGCTTAAGCCATGGCTCTGCGCGCGGTCCTTAAGCCTTGTTCGCAAAAGTCGCGTAACTTGAGTAGATTACTAAATTGTTTATTAATTTTGTTCTATTTTAACAGGCGAGTCCCCACTACGCGTCCCTACTCACTCGCTCACCGACTGAACGAGTCCGAACCGGGCGGTTTTGTCGAGTTATAAAAACCATTAATGACTTGTAAACTGTACTCGACTAAAGTGCGAACGGTTTTTTGATCGGTGACGATTAGTTTAGACGGTCTAAAGCCTGGTCCGTGAGCACGTAGAATCCCGTCCAATGACCCCAAGCTACCCATCCTTATCGCTCGCACGTAATTATGTTGCTGTCGCGACTGTGCGACGCGCGCCCGCAGTGAGTGTGCGAGCGCGACAGCAACATAATTACGTGCGAGCGACAAGGATGGGCAGCTTGGGGTCATTGGACGGGATTCTACGTGCTCACGGACCAGGCTTTAGTACTAAATGAGTCGACTAGTGCGAGCCAGGCTTTAGTGCGAGTCGGCGGTGGGCGGGGCGGCGGGCGGCACGGGCACGCTGAGCGGCGAGCGCTGGCGGTCAAACATCTCCAGGATCAGCTTGGGGTCGGTCCCGGCCGGCACCGTCACGGTGCCCGTCTGTGTGCACACCGCCTTATGAGTACCACCTTACGTTCTTCTCTGCAACAACGAGTGGCGCCCGCTTGTGTTTAGACCCGCTATTGTGCTAGTGCTCACGGCTCGTTCTATATGAACTGGACTCCAGTAAAACTATGGGTAGTACCTTCAAAATGCATTTTGAAGTTTCGCTCGGCGTACAATACTTTGATCATGATGATACAAATGGTTGACGACTTATATTTACATTTGTGTATGATTTTGAAAAGTATCTATCAAGATAATAGCATGAAAATCATTCGTGAACACATCATAGGTTTACGTGATCCAGTTATACATATTTTTATAGAACCGCCTTTTCCCCTCTATGCACGACATGTTTATTTTTTCGATCAATAAGATGGTTATGAATAGACAATTTTACTGACACTAGCGGACGCCACAACATTGCGCAGATTTCACATTTTATTTGTTAGTTAGCACACAGTATTTAAAATGTTAGTAGAGATTTGAAAACTTGAAAAAGCTAGAGATTGCAAGGTTTGTTAAATAAGCAAAGAGAAAAATATAATTTGTAGTTATATAAATAGGGGCATGCGATATTGCAGCTTAATTGGACTAAAATAGGGTTTATATTAAAGCAAAGTGTGTAGTACCTCGATGCGGGTGATGACTCCCTCCTCGCGACTGTGCTCTAGGACTACAAACAAAACATAAAGCGCCCGTCAAACATATAAACAAACAAACATTAAACATATAATATGGGCTTATGAAGCTTCAATAGTTATCAGGTATTTTTTAAAAACGTTAACCAAGTGACTTTTGGCATATAGCTGCCTACATGTCTTTGGTCGTCCGTTTTTAAATGCGTTGACTGCATAATATACGCTTCTTTTGAAAAAGTAAAAAATAACTTCTATTTATGTTAAAATAAGCGTATATTCGGCAGTCAAATTCAATAACAGTGGCGTTGAAATTTATTTCAAACGTGGAGAATTCAAAGCCGCATTATAATAACCTTTCACACCTCCTTGAAGAAGATTTCAAGTAAATGTGAATTGTGCATTAATGTCTTCGCCCCATAGCGTTGTTTGTTTGGCAACAGCCACGGAGCAAAGATTTTGTAATCGTTTTCATAGTACAATAGAAAAATACAAAATATTTTATGATCTTATATAAAAAGCCAATTCAAAGCAAAATTTTGCTTCATGCTGGGAATTTGAACTAAGTTTGCATGACGGCTTAATATTTGCATTTGGCATTATAAACAAAGTGATTTTCTCGGCATATTGCACTACTATGGTACTTTTGACAATCTATTATGAAATAACAAGGGATTCATGTAACAATTTCTTCAATTTGTGTCAATATTTCGATTTTGGTTGAGAATTGAATTTTATTTATAAAGTGCGATTCGATTATTAGGGTACTTATTTCTGCCATCCATATTCTTTAATACGACCTGTAGTGTGGCCTCACTTATAATGAAGAATCGGCCACTGATGCTTAAAAATTGTTGGGCAGAGCCATACCTATTCTAATTTGCTTCTCATTCACGGAAAAATAAATCTTTGCAGTGAGATAACGAACATTTTACGGGTTTTATCAGTTGAGGCTGTGGCCATATTTAAGAATATGAGATATTGAGATGTCCTTTAAAATTACGCATTTATAATTCTTAATTTCATTCATTCATCAGCATAATTGCGTAGTTTTAAGGCAT